ACTTATTATGATACCGCGTTCGCATGCTATACAAAAAAAAACTACAATTCCAAGCGCAACGAGTACTACGGCGCATACACACAACTTTCAATATAACTCACGTTACGGAATTTTCTCGCAATGCATTCAAATACAGGATAATACAGAATTAAATTCCGAATCTGAAAAAATTATTCCGAACTGATTATGGCACCGCGTTTGCGTGCTATACTAAAAAAAACTACAATTCCTAGTGCAAGGAGTTCTACGGCGCGCACACACAACTTACAATATAACTCGCGTTAGGGAATCTTGTCGCAATAAATTCAGATACAGGGTGATACAAAATAAAATTGCGCATTTGCGAAAACTATTCTGAACTTATTATGACACCGCGTTCGCATGCTATACTAAAAAAACTACAATTCCGAGCGCAACGAGTACTACGGCGCATACACACAACTTTCAATATAACTCGCGTTACGGAATTTTCTCGCAATGAATTCGAATACAGGGTGATAGGGGACTGATTATGACACCGCGTTCGCGTGCTATACTAAAAGAATTACAATGCCTTGCGCAATGAATACTACGGCGCATACACACAACTTTCAATATAACTCGCGTTAGGGAATTTTGTCGCAATAAATTCAAATACAGAGTGATACAAAATTAAATTTGCAATCTGGGGAAATTATTCTGAACTTATTATGATACAGCGTTCGCATGCTATACAAAAAAAAAACTACAATTCCAAGCGCAACGAGTACTACGGCGCATACACACAACTTTCAATATAACTCGCGTTACGGAATTTCGTCGCAATGAATTCAAATACAGGGTAATACAGAATTAAATTCCGAATCTGGGAAAATTATTCTGAACTTATTATGATAACGCGTTTGCATACTAAAAACTACAATGCCTGCGCGAATACTACGCGCATACACACAACTTTCAATATAACTCGCGTTACGGAATTTCGTCGCAATGAATTCAAATACAGGGTAATACAGAATTAAATTCCGAATCTGGGAAAATTATTCTGAACTTATTATGATAACGCGTTCGCATGCTATACAAAAAAAAACTACAATTCCAAGCGCAACGAGTACTACGTCGCATACACACAATTTTCAATCTAACTCGCGTTAGACAGAATTAAATTCCGAATAATTCTCAAGAAAAAAATGCCAATGGGGGGTGCTTGATAATTTTTATCGACGATTTTCAATAATTAATATTTTTTAAACTAGAAAAAATAGCAACCAACAAATTGCTAATTATGAAAGATTGGAAAATTCTCTATCAAATAAAAAAATAAAATAATTATATTTCCATAAGTAAAAGGTCAAAAAACGCCACTAAAAGTACAAAAAAGTGACATTTTTCAATTTTTGGCGATTTTATTCAATCGCGAATATCTCGTAAAGAAAAAATGATAAATAGGGACGTATCGCAGCATCTTAGTAATTCTCTAAAAAATAAGGTAATTAATTTGGAAATCTAAGAAATACAATTTTACTTCGAAAGTAAATGGTCGTACAAATCAACAGAAAAATTAACAAAGGGTTTTGTTGCGCTATCAGAATCTGATAAAAAAATTTGAATATTTCACAAAGGTTTTCCGCAATATGATCCGTTCCATATTACCATTAAGTGAAATATATACGGCCCCCCTAATTCGTGGGTTATTGAAATATGCAGGGGAAATGTGATAAAACATTTCACCAAATAATATAACTAAATTATAAACTTAGCAATGCAGCGCTCATCGGATTGCAAGGGTACGGCAAGTACTGTAATTAAAAGAGACCATAAGTTAAAACAAAAACATTTCATACAATATGATAATATTGTATTCACACATGGGAAAAACCGACCACGTCCCACAATAACCGACAATAAAACTGCAATTTGAAATATAAATATCAAAAGCAAGCATAAACAAACGTTTATGCACATTAAACGCACAATTTCTTATTAAGAAAACACTGCAGATGCATATTTCGACTAAGTCGGTTGCTGACCGAATATAATGCAAACTTTGAAAACAGAAGTCTGATAAAACGAAACGCGTTGCGCGATATACATGCTAGAGACCGGCACGAAACTAGCTGCAATCCATCAATAGAGATGCCGAAACCGAAAGTTTTGACGATTTATATTATTTCAATTGCGAATATCTCGTAAACTAAAAGAGATAGAAAGGAACAAATTGCAGGGTCTTAATCTACGGACAATTCTCTATAAAATAAGCTAGTTAAATTGGAAATTAAAAACATGAAATTTTAATTCATAAGAAAAAAATGGGCAAGAGGGGATGCTTGATAATTTATTTCCACGATTTTCGACAGTCAATATCTTCGAAACTAAATGAGATAGCGAGTTGAAAAAAACAATTAAAATTAATTAGGTGAAAGGTCTAAAAACGCGACTAAAAGAGCTAAAAATGGCCATTTTTAAATTTTTGACGATTTATTTCAATTGTGAATATCTCCAGTATATCTCCAGTCTAGTTTGTGTCACAGGTAGGTAGTACGTGATAAATAGAAAACTTTTTTATAAACAGCCAATGTAAATTTGACCGAAAAATATAATTAAAATACAAACTTACCAGTGTACAGCTTATCGGACTGTCAGACACAACGAGTGCTGTAACTAAACGAAAACATAAATTAAAACAAAAATATTTCATACAATTGAATTATGTTATAATTAACAATCAACACAAAATAAACAATCTGTGTTGTTTAGTTAAAAAATACTTACACGAGCCTGATGGATTTTTCTTAATGATGAGAATCAACATATCCGATTAATTTAGTAATCGACACCAAACACAACGCCTGTTCAAGTCAATAACATTGAACAGGGCAATGAACTATCGAGACGTCCACGGTCTAATCATGATGATGTCAATGGCTTAGTAAATAGGTGATAGTATATTAATTGTAATGTCTTAATAAATAGTTTGATAGCGTAGGGCGACCGCGGCGTAATCATAATGACGGAACAAATAGATGATAGCGACCTAATCATTATGTTAGCGTAAGACATGCGGGAGCTTAATGACTGTAAATGCAAATAATGTAACGATATATATATATGGAGGAGATTTTGGAAATAAACTAGTGTCATAACCTGTACCGTGCAGTTCGCTTGCCAGCTACATATCCTTGACTCTCCTCACCAAGAGCTTGTAACCTGTACTCTGCTACATATCCTCAAGCCTTGGTGCAGCTCTTTGTGGCCACCGTCCACAGACTACATCACCAGCAAGGGATTGTCCATTAATCACGTGAGTCATGAAGGGGGGGGAGGGGTTTGTTAAAAATCACGAAAAATCACCAGGGGGAGGGGGAGTGGAGTAAGATATCACGTGTATTTATTTTTTCGTCAAACGCACGATTTCTAAAGAGAAAAGCGGCGTGTTGTTGTTGGGATTAAAATACACGTGATGATGGGGGTGGGGGGTGGGGGTAATCTTAAACCTCACGACGTATCACCAAGGGGGAGGGGGGGTCCAAAAAATGAAAAAAAAAGATCACGTGATTAATGGACAGCCCCCAACCAGTACCACGAGCTACCACGCTCCACTCGCACCACCGCGTGCACAACGCCGAGTGAAGAATGTTATCAAATCCATTATCACGTAACTTATAATATACATAACAAACGCGATCAAAAACCGGCATTTCCGAATATTAAACAAATTACTATAATCCCAAAGTACAAATAAATAGTCGACCGATCTTCGAGTATAACGCAAATTTAGAATAATGATGTCCGCACAAACGATATAAGTCTCTCAAAACACGACTGGATTAACCAGCGACCAGCACGAAACTGGCGGCAATCTACCGATAGCGCATGCCGAAACAGCGTAAACAACGACGGGACAGTATATGATAAGAAAGCAAGAGGTGCGCAAAGACGGCGCGTCGAAGGCACGCGACCTTGGACGTGAATTTGCAATAGTCACATTACTTGTGATTTGCATTGTATACAAAACTACTCTTGTGCCCACGTTTCTCCATAAATATTAAAATAAGCCGTATAACTCGATTTTATGATTTTTAGTGCATCCTAGTGCCATCTATAAATGCGACAGATACTAGTCCCACAATTTAGACTATTATAATCAACTATTATATGGCATTGAGAAAATTAAAGGAAGTTAAATAGTTCAGGAGCTACAGGGCGTTATCCAAATCATGTTTTCAAATATTTATAAAACGTATGGAACGTAAATTAGTTTAGGTCATACAGGGCGTCTCCCATGTCATCTCTTTTTTATAAACCTGCCAACTTTTAAAGGGCATTTAAGGTCACTTTTAAAATGGTTAGCGGGATAAAATAGAATTCACCGTAAAGAGGATTTCTTGGCTTATAATTAATATAAGGTCAAGAAACTGTGGAAGTAAATTAGTGCAGGAGATACAGGGTGTTTTCCACACCATGTTTTTACATTTTATATAATTGCCCATTTTTAAAAGACATTTTAGGGCACCTTTCAAAAGTTTAGCAGCTTGAAAAACAATGCAACGTAAAAAGCGTCTCTTGACCTATAATATGGCTCCGAGAAACTTAAAAAAATTAAATAGTTCACGAGATACAAGGCGTAGGTAAATTGGAAATCTAGAAGATGAAAACAGAATTCTTAGGGAAAAATAGCCTAATGGTCTGCATCATATTTTTTTGTGTAACGATAAAAATATAGAATATCTTCGAAACTAAAAGCGCTAGCGACCAACGGATCAAAGAATATAAACCTTTGAAAAATTCTTTATAAAATAAGGTAAAAATATACCTTACACAGCGTTCAGAAATCGTACTATATTTCATATCAACTTTTTTATTTTCTAAAAATATCAGTGATACTTTTAATTGCACCAAGCGCATAGTGCCGAGCGCCTTGATCTGTTGCGCAACAATTCGTCCCATTTATTCGCTTCGCTGTCCTCTTTTTGTAATACTCATATTTTCAGTGTTCACGTAACAATTCTTGTAGTTTTCAATGTAAATGGACTAAGTTTTCTGAATTCCTTGCTGATATAACTTCCTGTACAATATGCGGACATATACAAAGCAACACATACATAGAAAATTAGGTGCGATGAACAAGCGTACAAGAGCGCACACTCGTTTGGCCACGCCGCTGCCACCTCCGCTGCCGCCGCCGTCACCGCCGCGGGCGTCGGTTGTTTCATGATCATTTTCGTACGTTTGCTTGCCGCCTCCAGTCGCTTCTCGACGGGATCCAATTGGCGCGCGCGTTACGTTTCCGAAGCTCACACCAACTTGCGCGTCTTTCAAACAATTAACCAACACATCAAATAATCCCTGTCGATTAAATCAGTTACAAGTTGTAAATAACTAAAACAATTGTTTGACAAAACAATGCACTAAACCTGTTTTCCAACAAAATGAAGAACTTCAGCGATGTGCCGCCGCATGTCTACGCGCTAATCGAAGAATTTTTGGTCGGAGCCGGACATGACAATGTCGATCTTCGAGAGGCGCACATTCGCACCTCGATTAAAGCATTTTTTCCGTTTATTATTATCATGTACGCGTTGATAGTGCTCGTTGGGGTTGTTGCCAACATTTCGGTCATGGTGCACGTGATCTGGCACAAATTGTGCAAAGATGCAACTTATGCGTTCATCATCAACAACGCCATCAGCGACATCGTCAAATGCATCATTGTTTTGCCAATTTCGCTCTATGTACTGGTAGTACAAAATTGGATGCTCGGAGAACTCCTCTGCTCCTTTCTACCCATGCTACAGGTGAGTTTTAATAAGGTGCACAAATACCACTAATGAAAAACAAGCTGGACTAATAAATCAGCAAGTTTTTTAATATGTACAATATTGAACGCAAACAGAAATTTATTGGCACAACAAATGTTTTTAATCAAAAATGATTAAAATGTCCATTTGATATATAAGCCCCAATATTTATTTTTAATGGAATATTTACCTATGTTGCCTTAAATGTAATCAATTTGAGTGGGTTTTTATTGAAACAACAAAAAAAAAACTAATTTTATCCTCGAAAAAACTTTAAGTAATGCTTTCTAATTTTATTATACAATTACTCAAACTTGTCTCCAACACCCGTTTCCGCCGTACGGGTTTTAACATTGCTATCACATCGCCATCACCAAGAATTAAAATTAAAATTGAGACGTGCGTTGCATACGCGAAATTAAACCCGCTTTGAGATAAAAACATTGAAATGATTTTATAAGTAGTTGACGTCACAAAGCTTTTTATTATTTCCCTAACGCAACTGTTCGTTTCGCAAAAGTTTAATGCGATTATAAATTTAGGACGTGGTTTGTTGAAATGCCATGATTTAAATACTCAACTTTGCGTCGTCTACAAGTAAGTTGAGACCGACACTTAATTTCTTGCTCAGGCGACTCAAGTTGCAAAATAAATTTAAGACATTAATGGAACAAAAGGTTTTATGCAAATTTTCAAATGTTTTGATTTTGACAATCTAATTTAATTAAAGAGAGTTAAAATATTATTGATCACAAATACAGTTTAACATGATTTATAATTTATTTATATATTTATGTTATTTATGTTGTGCATTTCTGATTATTCCTGAACTCTCAACAAGAATGTAGCAGGCAAAATCTAAATTTGTACTGAAAAATCGAAGACATTCTATAATGTGACAATTTTATATGTATTCTGGTATATTTTATAGAATGCAGTTTACCTTTTCTAATATAAATTCCGAGAAATACCTGAAACTTGAAAGTTAAAATGTTCAATGCGCATTTTTCTTTTACAACGACTTAAGAGTATTAAAGTTTAAAGGTTATAATTTTAGAAAGAAACAATGTAATATGCAATGTTATTTTAAGAAATAATTGATAATGGCAAAAACTAATGCGTAGCTTTCTATTTTTACGACTTTTAATTATGATTGCGTGTGCGGTGTGAGTGTGATATATGGGTGGGGCAGGAACGACGGCAACAGTGCAACGTGAATGAAAAATTAATTAAAAGAGGGTGTCAATTAAGTGTCATAGAAGTGCGTTGCACAACATGTCCATGCACACGGAATAGGATATCCAGGCTCGAGAACACAACATTTTATTTCTACAATTTATTCATTAAATTGTTTTTCGGCTTGAATTAATTTCTACATATTATGAATAATAGTTTGATAAATAATAAGTAGCTTACAAAACATATTAAATCCTCTCTGAATTTTCCAACTATGTTACAAACAAATGAGTTTGGGCAATTTTAGAAATGTTTATCAGTTGTTTATCATCACTGTGGTACTTTTCAAACAATTCATTATGAAGCAAAATAGTTATTTAACAAACATTATTAACATAACAGGTTGTTTACGTGGATTATATTAAATAGATTAGATTAAGACGTGGTTGTGTGTGTTTATGTTTGTGCACTTGATCGAGTATTCAATTTATAATGCGGTAATGGTTGTGGCCATTTCAACACAAATTGTTTTTGCAATATTTTACATAAGGAGGATAGGTTGATAGGTGCATAATGAATATTCATATCGGTAATATTTTTGCGAAAATTTGCACGCATAACTTTTTTCCAACTCCCGAGAATCCGACACGCAAAATGGAACACGCAGCCAACAACAGCTCATGAATTTTCATTATGTCCCCATTTGAATGAGGGACGTGTCAATGCTGTCGCCTCTTCGTTTATAATTTTTCGTTTAAGCAACCTGTCGAACCATATTTTTGAAGACGCTATGATAGGTTTTTGCTTCGTATTGTTTTTTTTTTGTTTTCTAATGGGAAAAAATACGAATTTTTAAAAAATGTCGAGGTACAATGATTGATTGCACTAACCATGTTACCATGACAGTGTTAGGATTTTAAGAAATCTCCTTGTTTTATTTTTTGGTTGCGTAACAAATAAACGCAATTCATTCCATGTTAAACATTCCAAGAAACTCGAATGTTGGAATGCTGCCAATATATTATCACTTAACTATTCGGCACATACGTACCCATTTGGTTCTGGATGAGCTGCAGCTTTGTGCTCTCGAACAGCTTGTTCCCAGATGTTTATAGATTATATAGTGCGGAAACTGTGGTCTTTAGGGAATAGGGATTTGAGAGGCATGAACCAAAGAGGTGTTACAGACTTTATCGACCGAGAGGCGAAACCACATCGTGGTCATATGTTACGAGCCGTGACTACTTACAGGAGTTACTTTTCTCACCATTGCGCTGCGATTCCAGCCATCCTCACCCCTGCAATTCCTCTCTTGGAACCCATTTGATTAAACATGCTCCTTTTTGCGTTCGTTTGGCTTCTCTGGAAATATACTGAGTGATTATCGCAACTTACATAATCCCTTCTTTGAATTAACTAGTAGGTACGCTTGTTGTGCATTTATTCTTGAAAATAAAAACTATAAATCTGCCAAAGCATAAAATCTCCTTGTAGCAAATCCTTAACCCGCATTTGATTCTTTTTTCTTTTCTTAACTCTCTGGAATAATTACTTCTGCGAATCGAATCGCCGCGTCAGTTGTTCACGAGAAGTGGAAAAGTAACACGGTCTCCCTTTTGACCAGTTCTACAACAAGTGTTTAATAGCGTTGACAAAAGGTTACTTTCGGAACAAGCAAGAAGATGAAAATGTGGCAATAGCCTAGGCCATTCCACTTGCAAAACAATCGATAAATCACATACATTTTTAAGCATTCTAAACAAGAGCAGAGTATCGATTGCGTTTCGAATAAATTATACGCCGTTACAAGTGATTCACCGAACTTATACAAATTTAATCTGACAACATATTGACAACTGAATCAACACAAGAAAAGATTTGTTTTTTATGATTTTTCAATGAACTTGGATTACTTTTTGACTCCGGATAATTCAGCGTATTGATTTCTTTTTTTGCAGGATATTCCATTCCACGTGACAACGCTGACATTTGTTTTGACAGCCTGGGACCGATATCGTTACATCCGCAATCCGAATAAACCGCGGCTACCAGCATTTGTGTGCGCAGTCGGTTCATGGCTGACAGCGCTCTGTCTGGTTCTGCCTTATCCGATTTACATTATCTACGTAGACCTGGGTGTAAGTACTCCTCTTAGTAGCTTGTTATCTGTTTAGCACATGTTCGCCGTTTCAATAATTTGGGTTTGGCCTGTTGGAACTGCACACTTAGTGCGATCTGCATGCGCGAAAACTTAATCAAGCAACTTGAAACTGGCGCCTTGAAAGGATAGTGAAGACCTTAGCAAACTATGTTGCTATAACCTCAGCTTAAAACGGGTTATTAGTTTGGAACCGTGCGGGAGAATATCTAACGAGGCCCTAATGTGTTCGAAATGGTGGTGAGGTGATAAAAGACGAAACAAAAACAAATATTTAAGATAATATGCCATTATATATGCATAGTTTTATAATTATTCATTTGTCTAAAAGCATAATAGACTTCTTAATGGTATTATAATTAAATTAAATTGAAATATACTGAGGTTACCTCCGTAAAAGTGAGATTGCATAAGCTTTATGTTTTAAAATTAATTAAAACGGAAGTAAATATTATTTTACCATTCGACATTACCATTACCGAGAATAAATAACATAAATTATAAGTAATTGAAATTCCGATCATTCCAAACTACGTAGAATTTAATCCTAATCAAACTTTTCGAGCGTTATATTTGGAGCTAATTAGTAAGTGCACGTTCGAAATGATTTTAGCTAGATTGATTACAACTCGATAAGCAAACTGAATACACTATATTGTAGTTGTTGATGGTATAATATTGTAAACATGATACGAGAGGAAGATATTTGATACGTGTGCTATTTTCATCGAGTATTTTAATTTGGTAATAGGAGCTGACACATTTGTAAGAAAAATTGCATTGAAATTGCCAGGAATACTAAAAACATTCTTTAATTTTTGGCTATTTTTGGCTATGATAGATTCCAGTAAATCCGTGTTGGTCAATATTGTGTCAACACATTTATTGGCTTGATCATTTGCGGTAATAAATCAGATTGATATTATGTAAATTCTGTACGTATATATATACAAACTGTGACCGTGGCCCAGCCTGAAACTAATCAACAGGCGGTAAATGGCGCGACAGATATGTAATGCACGGATAACCGGAACTCGCCGCACGAAATTGGAATGCTAAATGCCATTGAAATTTGGAATGGAAATTGAGCTTCTCGGTACGCTCTGAAATGAGAGATACGCGCCTGCATGAAAACACAATCACCACTTGATGGAAACACAGTGCGGCCACATTTTAATTTGGTGTTGATTTATCGTTAGCACTCATTGGTTTTCCTCTGAAGTTGTGAATCATTTGTGATGCACATCGCACAATTTCCCAATTATTAATCGTTATCGATTCACTGATTACACAGGTAACAATTAATGTGTGTTATTATTGATTTGTTTCGTTTGCTTTGCAAGGTTAGCGAAACGTGTTGGTTGGACTTTCATATTCGGAAAGCTGTTACGCATCAGTAATTAATTGTTAACTAAGTTGGGTATACGCCACCTTTAACGCTTTTATTATTTGATATTAATGGAGGATGCGAAAAAAGCACAAAAGCGAAATCATTTATAAATAATTTTTCAAAAGCTTTGAACTCTCGTTTTACGCTTGCCAATTTCGTGCGCGGCTTTATACTTCTAATAAGGCAATTAAATACGCCGCTTTCGTGCTTCGATCGGTTTAATTGATATACGTGCACATCCACGGTCAGAAACGGAACTCGGAATTAATTAGATTTTTGTTTTCCTTTGGTCTCGACTCTTGAATTTGCACTCGTGCTGAAAAGTTCCAAACTTACGTAAAGTTTCAAGAGCAATAGGAAGCAAGAATTACATTTGATGAGTGAAAAGATGAAAATTTTCGAGACGAAATATTAAGAAATGGTTTATGTATATGTATTTTCAGAGATATTCAAATGCGTTCGATGGAATTGGATTCTGCGTCGTTAATCTAACCGACGATATGCAGGAATACATGCGAGGAATATTCCTTATTATGTAAGTAATTACTACCAGTAATTAAGAATTACAAATGTTTGGGTACTTTGTGTGTTAATTTTCTATGCAATTGTTGGCTGTTAATTAACTGTGGGCTGTTATCACTCTAAATAACATTGGTATTAACATGCTGTTCTAAATTAGTAGTAATAAACGTTGTTTTGTAAACGACAACAGCTTAATTTTCACCACAAAAAAAAATTTCAACGTTCAAATTATTTATTAACGTGTTTGTAAGCAATCGTCCATTTTATTTTCTTTGTAATCGTCTACGGTTTCTAATTAATTTCCTTTGTCATTCGCGACAGTTCTGGCTTATTTACTGTGTACCCAATAAGTCAGTCAGGAAGTCAGAGATAAAGACGGATACAATACACGAATCGAGTTGACCTTCCAGGATATTTAAAGTTTGTATTATTTAATAAAGTTGCTTATATTATGCTCAACAATGAATAGGAGAATATATTCTCAAATTAAATGGTCGAACAAGTTTCTTCATTTTTCTCAGCTGGCAGGAATTTCATTACGCTTGTTCTTTACACGCTTGGTTTCTTTTTGTGAATTTCCACGACGTTGAATCAGTTGGAATAAATTCCAGCACCTGGAATTAACATCAAATGCAAAAGCAGAAATTTAGCTTTGAGAGAATTTAGAGAATTATACTAACATAGCAGTTAGAATAGAATTAAATCCAAAATCTTTTCGAAATTATTTATTAAAGGTATTTTTACACCTTGTATATACCTAATCATGGATTATATTGTTGGGAAAAAATGTATTATCCTTGCTACGCACAAAAATCCAATACTTCATAACACACATCTGTTTGTGACACGATATCTTGGATTTCTATTTCGTTTTCGGGTTTCTACGACTTGATATTCAAAAAATAGTTGTTGACTTGTTGAAATTGAAATGTCTTCCAATGAATTGCGCAAAATTTCGCGAATATATCTCAGAATTACTACAATTTCCAGGTTCATCGAAGCATATTGTAGATATTAGTAGAATTCTATTATTTTCAGGTATGCTGGTCCACTGGCGACGATTTCCTACTTGTACGTGAAGAGTTCGCGTGAGTTGCAGACCACAGCTACGATCGTAATGTACGAAACGCGACATCGCGAAAGCAGGTCACGTCCTACCGACTCCCAGCGTACTTCTATTGACATGCGGTGAGTACTAACTACCCTCCTTAATCATAAAACATTCAACATTCATAAATGTCCAGAACTACGAATCTTGCTCAACTTACTAATTCACATCTTTATCAATTGAAGCACTAAGTAAAGGAAATTTTTATTAGCTCGGGCGAATCAAGAAAAAGAGAAATATTCTGATATTTATTTAGACATTTATACACCTACATAGAAAAACTCAAGAAATTCTTGAATATTTCGCTGTAAACTTTATTTGATTAGGGAATCCCTTTCCTGATTAGATTTCTTCCCTTTTAGGGTACAAATTTGCCCTAAGCATTTTATATTTACATGCATACGTAGATAAAAAAGGATGAAAAATGGAAATCCCTTTGCGCATAAGAAAAATCATATCGGACTCGTAAATATTCTTTCGACAGTCTTATAATATTCTAGGTTTGTGATTTACTATGATCTGATTTTCCGTGCACATTTTCATTATGTGAACTGGACCATGCCGTTAAAACGAGACAAACATGCAAATGATTGATTATTTATGTCAGTTTGCGTTGCCGAAATGATGTAGCGAAATAGATTGATTTTCAGTGAAGAGCTGTTTTATCAAAATAGCATTTTTGAAAATGTACATCCATAAATTTGTCCGATTGCGAAAGATACAAATGTGCACGTATTGGAGTGTCAAATAACATTTGAACGGTTATGCGAAACGCACGTTTCACTCCAAAAGTCAAGCAAAAGTAGGATTAAATATCCTTTCGAGTTTTTTTGTGTGTGAGTGCATCCTGTTCCCATCGTTTGCTCTTATTTCCCGTCGCTCGGAAAGCACAAAGGATGCGCTGCCTCGTATACAAGCAGTGCGCACTTTTTGAGGTCGTGTAAAGCCAGGTGACAAGGCGACACGCAGGAAACTACTATTGCGCAGGGTAAAGATCTCGCCTCTAACACCGGAAAAAAACAAGAAAAGCACTCCATGGAGATTGTGATTCATGTCACAAGAGAAATGATCAACAAATAGTTTGTCGCGCACTTTTCCGAAGGTTATTTTGACAATTAACAGCTTGCAGCGCTTTATTTTAGTGATAAATAAAGAAATAAATAAATAGGTCATAAGTCGTAATAATATTGGATTAATGGTAGGCGATAAAGTGAAGGAGATCAAATTAAAGTAGAAATATCCTGGCAAGTAAGCAGGCGGTATCCTGCTTATTCTCGAGCAAAATTAGATGGCACTAATGGAGGAAGTCAAATGGAAGCACTTTTGCTTTATGAGCTTTCCACATTTATTATTAAACTAATAATCAGTTTGTGCCTACTTTATATAGCTACTTACAACTTCCGCATGAGAAAATGTAAATAATATTGGAATTGCCTTTGTTGCCAACTTTGAAGTTGAACTTGAAAGAAGTCTTCTTATTTGTGTTTTTATTTTGTTTCTTTTTGGTTTTATTTTGTGGCTTTTTTTAAGACCGGTAATTTAAAAAAAGAAAAAACGCGCAGGTTTATACATAAAAAAACATCAAACTTGTTTGCATGTAATACAAAATATTCAATCTTTGGTTTAACAAGGCTTCCGCTTCTGTGTTTCCTGTAACGTATTTTTAGAATCCATACAATATTGCAGCCGGTAATTGTCTCGTCCCTGCGCGCAAGAAGGACAAAACAAACATAAAATAAACATCAAATTGGTTTTCCGTTTTTGTACTTTGCCGTTTTCAATGTCAGTTACAACACGTTTTGTTTTCTAAAGTTCGTAATAGCAAACAAATAATATCTACTTACTCTATCTGTATAATAATAGAAGCATTAGAATAAGATTTGATTACACGTAATAAAAACACAATTATTTTTTGTATCACAACAACCCAATTGTGTCTTTTAGTATTATTTGTTGTTTATTATTATTGCGAAGCCAATAAACACGAAATTGCTTCATAAACATTTTCTTCAGGTCTTTTGTCAAATTGTAGACATACTTAGTTGTATTTCTGGCAACAAATGAACACAAGACTCAACTAGACATTTAATTCCACTTCGGGCATTGTGTGGATAATAAATAATGATTGCTAGAACTTTACTTGAGCATAAATTGGAATTAAATCCGCCCATTTCAGCCAGCACTGAATTAAATCATGTGTACGAGAATTGCGTAAGTATCTGCTTACACAGAGCACCTTTTAGATCGTAATTTAATGCTCACCAAGTATCTCCCAGATTCCAATTCTCTGCGTATTGTTAAAAACTTTTTTAGACTGTTAAGTGCATTCCGGTGGAGGATATTCAACATGTTGTGAAAATTTAACTTTAGCCTTTTGGGAAATGGCGTACATGTATGTTGGAATTCAAACTCAAAAGTTGTGGCCATTACAATAATTCCAGCAATTTACAATTTACACTGCTTCAGAACTGAGAAATTAAACGGTTGCAAAGTTAAATGAGGTTTGACGGTTAAAAAATTCACAGTGCAGTTAATTAATTCTTCGTAAAAGTTTCACAAAATTATAATTAAAATACTATTTTTTACTGTAAACTAAAAATACATTTGTAGCATGTGTTAAGGTTCAGCGTTGATTAAAATTGTAGATTAAATTAGAAGAACTCGAGTTCTTGCTGAATATTCAGATCACTGAAAACTCTGAGGATTCTATTTTTTTTTACAACAAAAGCAACTGAAGATTTTAATTAATTCTGAGAAATAATAAGTACGAGTACCAGTTTAGCTAGCTTGTTGTAAAAATAAACTTTCCACGCTTTAAATTCAATTTACATAACATTAATCGTGATTTGCAAATTTTAATAAGAATGGTATTGCTCTTTTAGATTTATTGAAAAAATTACTAAATAATTATTTACAATTTAACGCGGAAATTCGACATCATGGGAGTGATAACAATTGATGCAAATTACAAGAGCTCATACGCGTAAAACTATAATGATGTTCCAATTAAACGACTCACACCAAGAGCTCAAATCAAATTTGCATGCGAATATAACGAAGCTGAGCGGCATGCCCAACGGTGGTATGAAATTAAATTCAAATTGTCGTACAGGAAATGTCGTATGAAGGCATAAAATATGAAAAAGACTCGTGCGTGGAATTTACAAACGTTACCTTTATCTTTTACACACACTTCAATATTACGCAAGCTAAATTGCGTTATATTACGTTGTTCTTCTTTTATTTTTGATGCGAGATGTAGATATTACGTTAGCAGTAATTTATTTTACAGCAAAACTTTTAAAACCCGGTAACATATTGTTTTTATATGCCGTTTGCATGCGAATTACGTACAGCATTCTAGCAACTTGGCATGTAGAAAATTTATTAAGTAGATTTTTATATGAAAATGTTTTAAACCATAGCAAATTTACCAGGAGCTCAAGCAGGCTTCACAAAAATTTCCTGTCTAGTTTTCCAGGATATTATTAGGATTATGATCAGGTAAGACGTTAGAGAACACCGGAGCGTTTGAGAAATTTACTTTTTTTTATGAAAGATCTAAGTTACTGAAGAGAGCTTACCGGTAACTGATTTTAGCAGCGCATGCAAAATTCAGCGGTGTATTGAAAAGACGACCGCCCGAGCGATATAAAATATAAAATAAACAAAAAATAAACAAATAAATGCACGATTTTCTTGTAAAAATATATTGAAGATTACTGGTTTAGAGTAAAAGATGCAAAACGTTTTGCATCCAGAGTTTTGATTGATCTCTTGCGTAAAATATCATCAATTTTCTTTTAACAGCACTTATCTTTTTTTGTATACACCTGATCCATCCAGCTTTATAAACCTTGCTAATTTTAGCTGCCATTTTTGCCAAAAGAATTACGTTAAAAAATAAGATTCTAACATTTTAATTAAATCGTTATAATATGTACTTAAAATGTTCGTTTATGACATTTTAGCTTATTGCAGTGTTAGCTGGTCTCGCCACAACGTTTAATATTGCGCGAACGATGCAAAAAAATATATATACGTATATAATTTCGTTTTACACGAAAGAAATAGCAGGATACCGAAGGTAATATCGTCAAGCTTATAAAACGACGCGCTGGGGTGATTTTTCCGGCTTTATACTCGTAGAGTCGATTTTCACGACGGTATTTTGGCTCTGGGTGCGCCCGGGTGCGACCATAAACGAGAAAAATCTTTAGATGTCTTGTGTCTTGAACATGCTCGTTGCTAAGATTTGTCATTGAAATCATGCTCGTAAAGTGTCTCCTTGTTTTTATTGTTGCGACAAAGAATCATTGCCAATATAACAAGAAAAATGTTACTTGTAGCTGCGCAAAATATGAAACTATCAGCAACAAAAAAAAAGTCATAAATTCATTTTGTTTGGAAAATTATTACCACACTGTATAAATTCTAATGGAAAAACGTGACGATGAGCCCATATCAGAGGTAGACGTTTTGGTCGTGTCGCTTAAAAGCAGCACTCAAGTTAAATCGACCAGGGATGCATCCCTATTCCCTAACTAATGGAACTTATGGGAGGTGTTAAAGCATCTCCCGAGTATTCTAGCTAAATATTTAAGCGTATAGTACGAAAATAAATATTTTAATAGGTAATTAAATCAGTCATAAACATAAGTGTTGATATTTATGTCAAATCCACGAATGTAACAAGCGTGTGACATAAAACTAGATAAGAGAAAACGAGTGCGAATATTCTCGCACGTTGAAATGGAAAAATATCAATGAATATGTTAATTGAAGGTTATCTTCGTGCGCTAGACTGAAGATTTATAGAGCGAAAATATTTTATGGATCGAGGGTGCGACTGATACGCGAATACATTTGGTTAGGATTTTTATAGGTTTGGTGTACATTTCTCCACTTGAGATGAAAACACCGTATTTTTCTCAAGTGTCATTCACGGCACCTTGGATCAATGCAACTTTACCTTTACCTGACGTGTTTACTTTACCTTTTTAGAATAAACGATTCGGCCTTATCATTTTAAAAACACAAGCGCACAATACAAGCAAATATTGAATAAATAATTGTTTATATTTGTTTTTTCTATTGCACGTCGAGTGTTTTCATGTTCAATATTTATTTGCGACCCAAAAAAATTAATCAGTATGGATGGCATGTACGTTGTCAATGATATGACCGTATAGCAATAAATATATGTCATGTATTGTATAATAAAGTGAGTGATATATTGCGGGCTGAATTTTATTCTGCATTGTTTTTCGTTTGATCGGAATATGACAAAAAACGCCGAAAAAACATATTGACTCGTGTAGCCGTGCGAAATTCTACAATGTTACCGCTATTTGTACACCAGCCGAGCGACTAACAACATGTTGGCGTTGCTCAAACATGATTTACGAGATGGAAATTTTATATCCTCATATATTGAAACAACATTTATATATATATTGCGAGAGATACCTGCTTCTCTACTTGTGCATTCATAGTTGCAAGCTTTAATGCATGATTTTATACGCTTCGATAGTAATTTCGTAAATAAAATAGTAATATGCTTTCTGATGCATTTGAAAATGTTAACACTTGTTGCTATCGAAAGTATACAAGCTTTCTTTAGAATGTTCGATTGACCCATTCCTATTGGTATTTTAACAATACCTTAGGTTGCTATGGTAACCTGGGTAGTATTATTCAACTCTCCGTACTTCTCAACAATGAAACAATTGAAACTATCGAACACTTGTACATCGTTCAATAATTTGCATCTATAAATTAACAATCAGCAGTTATTGCGTCACTAATAATCTTTTCACGTCACTATAAGTAATATGTATGACTATCATAAATTTATGGATTAATCTATAAATTTATAACACGTGCAATCGCGTTTCCAAGAAATGCTTTACATATTTATGATTTAACCAGGAAATGAAATTTTACTTCTAGTTGCACTTTAACTTTGACCTTTGATTTAACGCAGCAAATCACTGCAATTCACTTTATATTTAATAAAGTTCTTATAAAGACATTTACAAAGACCAGATGCCGTATAAAACTCAAACCAAAAGGCATAAAATTTCATAACAACATGATTAAACAAAATTTAGAAAAGTTTATTATTGCAGAAGCCCTGTATTTATTTCCACAGAAAAGCAGTGCCTGCAAACAGCAGGAAAAAAAGGCGGCTAGGAGCAAACTATATTTAATGAAGACTAATGCCTCTTAATTACATACTCCCTTTTAGTCCATAGGGGCGATAATTAATTTAATTACGTGCTATCTACAGCTATTTATCTACTTTTATTTGAAAACCCTTCGTGTTTCCTACCATCCGACAAGCACTTCAAGGCTAAATATCAGTTAATTATCATCACTATAAACATAAACTTAGTTAACACATGCTATGTTTACCATTTGCAGTGGCAGTCGAGGTGAAAGCGACCTGCTAAGTCAGTACAGCCGTGGCAGCTACCGAAACGAACGCAACCATCTGCCAGGATCAAACCGTCACCGTTTGAGCCACTCCCAATTCGGGGATTACAACGACGAAGTCGAACTGGACGTGGGACGTGAAAAGCGCACGAATAAGTATCAGGCGTCCATGGTGACCATGTATGCGATACTTTTATGTCCACTGATGATTCTCCGGGTGGCGCGATTAGCGCTTCTGGAAACTTATGAAAATGCCGCACATTTTGACATCACGTACACTGCGTTTGTCTGGTTTGCGTTTCTTCCAACTTGTACCACTCCGGCGTTGTTCGCAGCGTGGCATATGAGCAGGTACACATTATGCATGATAATTGCTTTTGTTTCTGAGTAATGTTTTTCGTGCATTATCATTATACGTGAGGTTACTAATAATTTCTACAAAAGTAGGCAATTTTACAAGTTTTAAAATTCACAATCGCATTAAAAGAGCTATTTGCAAATAAACAGTTGGGTAAATAGGTAATAAACTTTGAGGCCAATAATCTACTGCAATTGCTCAATTAAATATACTCAAGAAATCGGTTTAAAATTAAAAATTCATGACTTGAGACCCCATGAAGAAGCTGTTTACCAATTTAGGAAGAGTCAAAGAAAAAATGTTGTTTGCGAATCGTTTGTGATGGCATTTACGATAACATCCAAGCGCTTCGATGATAAGTGATGGCAAACAGGCTGCACGACCGTCTCGACGTCGTAAGTATTTATCTAGGGGGCGTTTTATGTTTGCAGCAGGTTTTTATGCTGTGCTGCCGCCCGGAAAAAAACCGCACAAAGTAAACTCTGCTACTAAACAGCAATTGGCTAGAATGACGACGCACTTATAGTGTTAAATTATGATTATATGAATATGGTAATTTCAGCGAAGAAACAAACCTTGCAACTAACCTTGTTTAAAGTTTGACATGCTTAACTTTTCAAATTTCCATTCTGCGTTGCAGACCCACCAAGGAGCGACTGCGTGGTTACTTCCGCATCAGCAGCCGGAAAATCCGTCGGTCGTGTGATACAGTGGAAACGTCCTGCGTGTCAGCGCGCTCTTCGCCGCCGCCGCCGTTCGTGCGAACAGAATCCAACCGCAGCACGTCGCGACACCTCCAGCCGGCGCCGTCCGCCCATCCGCAGAAACACAGCCTGCAACTTGAACTACGACAGAATCACCATCACTACCAGCAACAGCAGCAGCGCCAATTTAATCCCAGTCCTGACGTTCATCGCGAGCAGGAAATTTCACATGACTTTGGATATTATACACCTCCACCGCCGTTGACCGACGACCTTGTCGAAATATACCCGGAGCAACAGGAAATGCTCTACGCCAGCCCGCATCGACTGTCATCACGGCCCGATTGATCTCGCGAGCAACACGGTCGGCCCGTGTCCACTCTATCAATCTCACCAAGGTCCTCCATTGTCTACGACAAGACCGGTCATTACACTCATAGGTTGGTTTAATCAAAGTATCGCTTAATTGAAAATGTTGTCAACTTCTCTCAACGCGTGCGAAACTTCTCAAAATGGGTTAATCTGATTTGTGTTGACGAAGTTTTCTTTAGGTCGTCAACGCCAAGAAAGTTACGAAACACGACTCACAACTCCAGGAGGAAAACTCGATCGTTGCCAAACGCATCGTTCAGTCTGGAACAACTGATCTAAGGACTCCAAATTTCTTCCCTAATGGCTGTGTATGCGTGGAGTCGAGAGTCGAAGCAACAGACTGCAATTGTGATAGTTTAGACAATGTGCAAGACAAGTAAGTTAGGATTAGCTCGCAAAGGCATGTGATGTTATGCAATTTAGCGTGACGTAATCTAATTTAAGCATAATATAAGAGTAAGACAACAGAAAAGTTAAGAAACTAGCAGAGTATCAACATAGATCAACGTTAAGCAAACAGTTAACACAGTTTTAAAGCGATTAAACCCAATCCTATTATAACATCGAATTTGAATATACCGAACACCCAACCAGCACCGAATGAATACTCAATCAGCTCAAACTATATCACATCCTAATTTGTGACCAAAATGTCGGATCAAATATTAGCATAATAATTATAAACGGCCAAAATAGTGACAAATATTTGATATACATATAACTAATTGTTAATGTATAAGTTGTAAAGTGAGTTAGGCAAACGTTATAATGAACTTTCATTACATTTTCATAACACTGAGCCCATGAAATCATGAAAGTTCTTTATACTGTTCTAACCTCAATTGTAACCTGGAAAATGCTTAAATTTTTAGGCAATTTAAGTAATAAATAAATATTGTACATTTTATATTCTCGTATTGTCGTTGAAAAAGTAGATAAAATTATATAAAAGTTTATTCGTCAAAACAACGAATAACGTATTTTAAGAATTTTAAAAGTAGTTATGTGACAAAAAATTTAAAAATACCAAAATTGTATTTCAATTGCTCTTCGATTGCTGAGAGTTACTTTTGAATCTTTTTAAATGCTGTTTTTACTCACATATTGTTCAAATGTTGTCATAAATAAATGTCTAAATGATTTAGAATAATTGAGAATAGTAATATTATACCAATAAATGTTTTATGGACAATGAACATACAATATATCCCTACTAATATTATAAATGCGAAAGTCCTGATGTTTGTTACACTTTCACGCAAAAATTACTTAACCGATCATCATGAAAATTTGTACACGTATTCTTAGTGGTCCCCGAATGGTTATAGGCTACTTTCTATTTAATAAAAAAATTATTTTTTAAATAAAATAAAGAAATTGTTTAGCCAATAATACCTCTGCATCTGGCTATTTGACTACTTTAACTCCATCTAGCATTCCAGAAATGAAGCTCAAACATAAGTACTATAGTACCATCACATTGTATTATCACACTGTATTACCGACAGCTACGTCAACATTAAATCCAATTGACTACACTATGGAGACTGTACCCTATATTTCCATAGACTATACTTTCAGCCATTTTAAACTTCCCGCCATTCTACTTCATTGTTACTTCTTCTGTGACTACAGACGCGTACGGAAGCAACTTCATTATTTTAGATATTCGCGAGCGAAGCCGCGGGTTAAAGCTAGTAATATATATTTCAAGAAATAATTTAATTTTTTCCTTTGCTCCATTTTCTTGTTTTTTATTGTAAAGTAAACGCTTAAAAAAGCAGTACGTTTGCCATTTGCCATTTTCTTCAATACGGTCATGTAACGCACTTTAACTCTTTAACACATACAACCTACTGTGTTGTATTTTATTACTTGTTTCCCAGATTTCCAGTTTCAACTGAGTATTTATTACTATTGTCGTCCTTCTGAGAAAAAAAACCGTACATTACTTAAATTGCTTTTCAAGTTCTTTGTGCGCTTTGTTTGGGTTCCTTCCTTTTTTTCAATGCGGAGATCTTTCAGAACATAAAAATAATAAAATAATAAAATCCGAATAATAATTTAATTAAATGCTCTCGCATACCACAGGACCTTTGTTGCTCACGTAAAGGTCTAATAATAGATTTTTTCATTGAGCAGCTATTTTCATCTATGATTCAATAAAAAGAGCCCCTTGTTGTGGCAATGTTCACGCACCGCTAAGTGCTCTGCAAAGCGTGTACGAATAATATTTCCAGGCACTATTATTATTACCATCAAGTGTTCGCGTACTAAAAATTTAATTTTTTAGTGGGTAAAACGTTTTTGCTCCAAAATACCTGAATGTTGCTTTTTATCGGCCTTAAAAGTCAAAGTAGAAAACGATGTTTTCGCAGAATTCGTCAAGTTGTCTAAAACGTATAAATATTTGATTGTTTTCCGATTTGAGGATTTGTGGACGATTTCCAAGAATAAAAAATGAATTTATTACCAAACAAACATTTTTTTACTTGGAAATATATCTGGCACTATACAACATTACGTGACATTGCACAACACAGTTAACGAACCAATTATTTTGATCCTAAATATAAATAAATTGTATTTACGAAAAAACGGGTATAGATTCGATTTAAATATAATATTTTAAACGTGTTTTTTTTTTTATTATAAACTAGATTTTGCCCGCGACTTCGTCCCGGTAGTGTTTAATAAAAATGTAATTCGTTTTTCATCTCTTGCTAGTAGTAAAGTGTCACTATTACAAAAAAGAGCACATTACTTGGAATGTCAATATCACTAAGGATCACCAAAGTAAAGAAAGTTCACGCGCACGTAGCCACAAAGATAGAAGGATGCACTCATAGATATCGTAACTCGTAACACAATATAATAACGTAATACTTTTTTCCGTGCTCTGAAATGCGACAGGATGGATTGGCATATTAGTTGGTTGTCAAATCTATTGTCAAATATTATCGTTTGTATTGGAAATAGAAAAATGCTTTTTTGAGGATTTTCCCGGCAATTATTCGAATTTTTCTCACCTTTTAAACCTTCCCTAGACCTCCACGAATAATTCAAGACCAAGATAAGATAAATCCGTTCAGCCGTTCTCGAGTTTTAGCGAGACTAACGAACAGCAATTCATTTATATATATATAATATATATATATATATATATATATATATATATATATATATATAGATTAAAATAAAATAGATATCTATACTCTGCATTGTAATATTGCAATTGTAATGTTATATTATGAACAAATAATAATAATATTTGAATGATAATGACCGGAATGACCGGACGGGTCTTTCATTTAAACTTCAAAGCATATTGCTTCAAATCCAGCGAATTACAGTTAATCTCATAATCAAGTCCGCTACTTTATGCACTTGTTTTTTGTGACGCGGGAATGCTTTGGTGTGTTTTACGCAAAGGATTGTAACGCTATCCGCAAAAAGCAATTTTGAACAGCTAGTGGGTTGCGATTCATTTAGCGTGCGAGCATGTGATATGCTAGTCTGAGAGAGATTACATCAGGACTAATGAGTTGCTAGAATTACTAGGTGGGCAACATTTACCTGGCATAAATGATGAAAAGGAAACCAATGAAATGAAAGGTATTTGGTGAACAATTCTTTTGTTACTTTGCAGAATCTGTTAATAAAAGCACACACATATTGGTCTAAATTCGTTACTTCTATTTTTTTAGATGATGAAATTTGTAACTAATTATTAACACTAATTTTATATTATTTGTTTATTATTATCTAATAATTAATTAACAATAATTTTCTACGTTTTCTTTTTAATTCTTACAAATTTTAATTTCTTATTTAATAAATAAACAAAAGTTTAAGCATTAATAATCATGGTAGGTGCTCAAAGAAACAGCGCGGTTGGATACGACGTGCGCAAAGTACGAGTAGATAGTGCTTCACTAGCAGATCAATCATGCAACTTGAAAAGACATACAAAATTTTCCTGAACGCAAAATCCAATTTATTTTGATCTGTGATGCATCATGCTTTCCGAGTATTTTCGTTAACAGGTATCTTCTAAACCAAAGTCGATAGGAACCAACTGATTAAAGATTATAAAAGTTTATAAATTTCTTTTATAAAATAATTTAAAAAAAGATTTAAAATTAGGGGCGTAAAGTTTTAGAAATTGTGATCAAAAGTGCAAAAAAGAGCGCATTTTTATTTTTACGAGTTTATGTTTTGATTGCAAATATCTCCTATACTAAACGCAATAGCGGCCAATGAATTAAAAAATTTTAATATATGGAAAATTCTTTAGAAAACAATTTAAGGGATTCAGTGTATTTTCTTCACTATGATTCTAAATTTTATTATTTTCAAAGTTGAATACGTAATCCATGGTTTATAAAATGTATTTATTAAAATAATTTTGTGATTTTCTTGGATTTTACAATTTTGTAAACTTTCTGAGTTTCTGATGATGCCCACAGGGCGAAACATGTAAAACTCTCATACAAAATTGTAAAATCCAAGAAAATCACAAAATTATTTTAATAAAGAGATTCTAAATTTTTAGTAAAATCACAATTTTTAGTGAGCATGTACAGTAAACCTAAGGTTTTTTTGTACTATTATACGACGCCAAACTAAAACTAAACAAATAATATAAAATTAGTGTTAATAATTAGTTACAAACTAAAACTAAAATGGAATGAATTCATGCACACAACTAAGGTGTTTTCATAAATCTGTATCGATAAACACAGGTATTTAATATCGAAGAGCATCCTAGCGTCATCTGTGAGGGGATTATGGAGTTATAGTTCATAATGCTACCTTATTACTTTATTTCTGTGGAGCCGATTACATATCTGCAATCATACATTAATAATAGCTTACACTAACAAACAATACTAGACACTAAACACTAAATTAAAACTATTCTTCGTGCAGTAACACAGTCTTTGAACATTTTCCACTTATGTACTGTCAATGTTGACAGTTGCAAGGCCAGATGGGTCATATGACTATAGTGTACATATGACCATGACAAAGAATTTCCTCTAATTTTTTAATTTCACTTTGTAGAATTGTGAATTATATGTGCCCACGTTAATACACAAGAAATACTGATACCTTATCTACTTTTTAACGACACAACAAGGTATATAACATTATCTTAGTAGGTAGAAAGAAACCAATGGAAAACTAACTATCGTATTCATTTTTGGCAATTGTAAGTAATATCTTTGTGGAGTTTAATTTACCTAATGTATTGTGCTGTAATTATTGTCTTAATTTCAGATCTCCAATTTCATACTAGTATGTCACACAAGCTTGGTGAAACAAGTTGTTACATGGATGGCATCAGAGTAAAAATCTCTGAGAAATACAAACCACCTCCAAAGATTACACTAGCAATGACTTATGCTCAAAGACTAACACTAAACCGGCAATTGCAAGACAACTTACAATCTTATAATTTTGATACAAGCTTCTGTGTTAAAGAAAAAATGAAAGAATGGAGAATGGCCAGATGCAATATAGCAACTCAACAAAAAATTAAACTAGAAAAACTTGCAATAGAAGAGAAGTTAAAGAAAAAGAAGGAATTGGAGAGTGTGCAGGTGAATGCAGTAAATGCAGATTCTAACAAAATAACTGGTGGCAAGGAAAGTGAAGAAGGGTTATTGATTCCTACACAATCTAATATATTGACACCTATACCATTAGCCCCACAGAAATATGTTCAGACCATCAATGATGCCAGCCCCATAAATATCAGTGATTTTGAGCCAGATACATCCAGTCCTTTTGACAATTTAGAACTGAAATCAATCAATGATCTGGAAGAGTTGAAAATTGTTTTACAAAATGAAGACAAAAGCAAGTATCAACACAAGTTGGATAAGAATAATCACTATCCAATACCAAATAATCAGATTTGTGAACCTAGTCATAATAGTTATTGCAATTTATCAGTTTCCTTGCCATCCACAATTCCAAATCAAGCTCATCATCAGTATAGCACAGTATCAGCAGCCACTTCCACGATGGACACGAATGGTTACGCGCCGTATTATGGCAACTCAAGTGATTTATATACATTCTACAAAAGTAGTGATCACAATTCATTGAATAACTTTACTAGAAATGTAAATAATGCGGACAGTGGTTGTGCAACAGACAAAGAATTATCACAGGCTTATAATATGGTTCCTGATATTCTAAAAGCCTTGCAGAATCAGCTTAATTTAAATATTCAACAAGAGCAAAGTGTCAATGTGGATGCAAACTTAATGGCTGCCGGAGGTCAGATGCAACATTCTAAAATTAAATCGATTGACAATCATTTCAGCATGGAGGATGATAAGTTGGAGAATCCATATCACAACTTGAGTAAATCTACTCAAAGTATTTGTGATTCCATTGCAACTATGGGCTTTCCAGTTGCAAGAGTTGCAAGGGTTTGTAAATTAGTAGGAGATGATGAGAAAAAAGTAATTAGATTACTATTATATGTAATATTGATAAATTTATTAATTATATATGCTTCTAGATTGTGGAATATTTATTATGTCAATCTCAATTAATGGATTTGGGATTCAGCGAAGAAAAAGTTACATCTGCATTAAATGAAAGCGATAACAATCGCGACAAAGCACTGGAACTTTTAATTTCATAGTATTTAAATATAACTAGCTTGATGAAACGTTAATATGCATTATACGGCTGTGCACAAACTACTTGTCTTAAGGTGCTTTGAGATATATTTATTTCAAAGAGTCTCTTGCTTTTCCTTAATTAAATTGAATCGCATTGATTAGATGATGTTTACTATAGAGTGAATATAAAATGAAATGTACATATTTGTTGTATTGTTTGTGACAGTGTTTTTTCTATGTTTTAAAATATGATTTTGTAAGATTGCTAGTTTTGCTATTTTGGTCCATTTCCTGTATGAGCTACTGTCGTCAATAAATTAAACAGATCTGAAAGTAAAATTGATGATTCAGGTACTTATTTCTGTTCGATTATTCTGTTTATTTATTTTTATTGTTTGATATCGATATGAAAGAAGTAAAATAAAGGGTGCAAGTTTTAATAAGTCTTAGAATCGAAATATAAATTAGTTTTCAAATTTCGCGTAGTGGTTGCTAGGGAAAATTTCGTGAAGTAGTGCCCTTAGCAACCACCAATAAAAACGCTGCAAAAGGCGGCCATCATTTTTTTAGTACCCTGACGTCACAGAAATTCATGATGGCCGACTTTGTTGGCCAATGAAATGGCAGATTGAAGGTCGTCTGCGTCAGTTTGAAATTCAAACTTATAACCTCTACATCATACCCTAATTATTAGTGTGATCAGCTTAAATTACAGGTTATTGCCTTAAGTAACAATCCAGAGACGAGATATTGGTCTTAACTTGGTGGTAGATATATAAGGACATCGTCGTGACATTTGAACATCTTCTAGTTTTCGTTTAACCCTTAAAAGATCCGAGAATAATTCGTAAGTATATGTATATCTATACTTTGAGAACTATATTTATATTTACAGTTATTTTCAGATTCATTCAGGAGTTCAAGTGGTGAACACAATTCAAGTTCATTCAGCGCGTCTTAATCTGGTATTTAGAGTGGACCAAGTTGTAGCAGTGGAAACAAATCATCATCAACATCAAGTAATAGTTCATCATCTAAGCCTACATTATTTGCTACAAGCAGCTCTATTGTGAGTGCTCATAAGAGACTTCCAACTATGAAGAAATAGTCTGCAAAGTTGTATGAGAAGAAGAAGCTACAATGATTAATTATTTTTAATTTAATTCCATAAAATGTCGTTCCATGTTCCATAAAATATGGAATTTATAAGACAGTTTTATAAAGTTTCTAAAGTAATCTCATTCCAAAAATCTGGGTTTCCTATTTTAGAACTTTTCATCTGCATGTTTTCTAATTCAGGTCCTTGAATAAGTAGATAATTGGTTGTATTTGTTTCATTTGAGTTTACGGGAAGCCAGTTATCCAAAAGAATTTTTCTGTAACCGAAATATTATAATAAACACTGCAAAATCATGCAACTTCATCTTACCCAGTTTGCATAAACTCGACATAAACATCCAAAAAGAAATTCATCATATTTTCATCTCGAGGCGTTCTTTTCTCCTCAGGTAATGCTTCAAATCCAAAAATGAAAATATCATCATCTCCATGTGATATACCAAGGCGTTGATTAGTTGCGGAGAAAAGCTCAGAAAGGCTAGGAACTTCTTCAGACGTGTAATTAAATCGATATGAGTATACAGGAAAATGAGTTGTTTCCGCATGCAATCTCAGCGATTTTCCCAAAGCGTAATCAAAAAATTTGTCGCTAAACATCTGCAAAATAATTAGTTAATTTATAAAACGGTCTAAAACAAGAATATTAGCTAAGTAAAGTTAAGTATGATCGGCTTTGATGATTAAGTATGATTAAGTAGATGGAATATCCATGATCTAAATAAACGCGTAGCTTCCAGCAACTCACTTTCAGGTACACGTTTCAAACATGAAATCACTTCTCTTGTAGGTACTAAAGGGCAATCAAAGTGTTTGCAACAAGAATATTAATTAGCGTACCTGAATTAACCGGCCGAAAGTCCTGTTACTAATTGCCTCGTTAGCAAAGTAATGCTCTCTAATCAATTGGGTCGTTTCGATACTTTCAACTTCAGGAATTTGTCCTTCATACATCAACACAACTGGCCCCAGTTTGTCCCAACGTTCATTAAACTCATTTAAATATGAATCATTATAAAGGAACTCTGTAAATCCACAAACAATAGATGTATTAATACATATTTCAATGCAATTAAATTTCCAATCTACCTGCGCCAGGATACAAGCCTTCTTCGGCAACAGACGAGCTGAGGAAAGGCACATGATTGAACTGTTTTGATTTGAATATTTCTATGGGATGTTGCTGCATAAAGGGTTCACTGCTCCACTTATCAACAACAGGCGAAAAGGGGGCATATGGATGGAATATCCATGATCTAAATAAACGCGTAGCTTCCAGCAACTCACTTTCAGGTACACGTTTTAAACATGAAATCATTTCTCTTGTAGGTACTAAAGGGCAATCAAAGTGTTTGCCTAAAGTCATAGCCTTCTTACGTGGAGTGGCTTGCAGAGAACGCAAAGCCGAACCACTCATAGCAATGGCTCGATGAAATAGTCCTTTTGATAGCGGTGAAAGGATATGATAATGAATGGAAATAGCACCGGCGGACAAACCGTTGATTGTCACCGAGTTTGGATTGCCTCCGAAGTACGCAATGTTGTCGCGCACCCACTCCAACGCCAAAACTTGATCCTTCAGACCCAAATTACCGGGCATTGTAGCGTCCTCAGTGCTCAAGAATCCAAAAATTCCAAGCCGGTAGTTCATGCTTACGAGTATCAATTCACGATCCATGATATATTTGCCTCCTGCACTTGCTTCAGATCCAAAACTGAATGAACCTCCATGGATGTAAACCAAAACGTTGTAGTTTTTTGTTGCGTCAATTCGATCACCGGGGACTTTTACTGAGAGATACAAACAGTCTTCTGAACCAAGGGAAAGTCCTCCAACTGGGTCGGGTACGTGGGTGATTTGGGCACAAGAGTAAGATTTATCAGCTATAAGTGTATCATTCCATGAATCAGCAACTTGTGGCGGCTGTTAAAAGAATAGAAAACAAAATCCATTAAAGAAAATAATAAAATTTATCATTATATACTTCAAATCTTAAATTTCCAATTGGTGGGTTCGCATAAGGAATGCCAGTGAATTGCATGTAAGTTTTTCCATTGTATGAAGTTTTTAGTGTTCCTTGAATATTTCCATTTGGAATTGTTACAGTTGGTAACTTTTGGCAAGCTACAAAACCTGCAACTCACATTTATTTAAAAATTATGCTCAAATATAGCTAAATATAGTTTACTTACGTAAAAATATACCAAACAATATAATCCAAATCATTTTATTGCATCTAGTAACGTTTAAAAACATTTTTCACTATTTATATCAACAATTATCTGTCCACTTAAAGAAACTTGTCCTGAAAAGATAAATTTGTAAGTATCTACTTGACGGGTTCTAAAATTATAACAAAATATTCAATGATTTTATTTGGTTTTAATTCAATTAAATCTCATACATATCCCATACATTAATTGCGTCTTTAATATACGTAAGTTTGTTATTTAGTTAAATGTCAGTATAATAACATTTCGTAAGCTAAGGAATCCGAGTTTTTATCAATAGTTCTTCACCATTTTACTCTTTCATATTAATTGTTACTAATCCGTTTGTTTTATTCTTCTTTGGGTATTTGGTTGACTAGAAGCTAAATATCTTTGCATTGATTTAATATGTAATAGTTTGTTCATAAATTTATATCATAACTATATAGATAATATTTGCAATTATTATAATGATTTAATAATACAATAGAGTAATAAAATTGCCAATTTGTTTAAATATAACATAAATAAGAATAAATACATTTTCGTCTTTGTGTTGCACTAGATTTCCGTTCGTAACATTTGATCAAATCTCTTGTTTTGAATAAATAAACATTTAGACATCATAGTGTATGATAACAATTTATCCGAAATGATGAAGTTTCAATGCAATCGAGCTGTTTATTGTGCGTTACAGATAGATACACGTTACCAAACCAAAAATTATTATTAAACCAAGAAGAATTCAATTTCCAATACCCACGTTTGCATGCGTTACCGTTGAGATTGTTATTTTGCTGACCCGATGATAATTCATTCGTTGACATTTTCCGTTGCTTCATTTTACATTGAAATTTCATCAACTAAACCAGCACGAACTTTGCGATGTTTCGATTCAATTTCATCATCATTCGTCCTCCGTCCAACCAGCTGTCAACCAAATTCTTGTGTTTGTGTGTGTTTGATTTTACATCCTGTTCTGTTCGCATTCGTTATCTCCGCAAGGCAATCTTTGTTTAGCACCAAACTTACATATTTAGTTAACAATCAATTAATGGTTTCTTTTAAATTTTGTTTAATTTCCTTCATTAGTTCAATAATTATTGTGATACTACGTTTAAAAGCTCAAGAAGTTTTTCATTATCAAGTTCTCATCTCTAAACAAATATATAATAGATGATTCTTTATCATGTTTAGCAATTAGTTCTTCACATAGTTTGCAATTAATTCGTGTGGCATTGATCTTCATGTATGCATAGATATGAGACGTAACCATACCTAATAAAATATAGTCTCTAATAGTTTTTCATCTTCCCCATCGTCAAATTTTCATATTCCTATAAGTTGTTTAGTTTAATTACTCATTTGTTACGTAAACAATTCGTTAAGTAATCATTACACAGTCGTACTTGTTTTTGAATTACTGCATCAATATATTTATTAGAAGCATTTTCAGTGTATTTTCTCTAACAAAGGAACCAAACATGAGCTCTAAATAGATATAGGCCATTGTAATTCATAGCGATAGCAGACATCATTGAAACATACAAAAACCGTCACACAACGGCGCTATGACCATAAACGAAGAATATTACAGAAGCTCGATCATTATTAACACAAAATTATTATGAAAGGGTATCACATCACATAGTATGTTTTGCCACATCGAGATCATTCTAGGAATGATTTTCACATGTAACAAATTCGTATTCTGACTCGGTTAATACATCAAAAGCAATTATTGGATTTTAATTATTCAATTACACTTGTATCCATATTTCTTACGCTCCTTATGCTTGGTTTTCAGGATAATTCGAAAACTACAAAATGTATCCGCGTAGGGTAATATCAAATATTGCATTCTACGAAATCTCAAATGTAATTCTTCCGTGTCAAACACTCATTTCCATCTTGTAAACACATTGTTCGCATTTTAAACAAATGCGCATGTAGTTAGTCAAACTCGAAATCGATTGATGTTGTACCAGCAAAGTATGAATCAAAATAATTTGTATATTTTATAACTGCTGAAAGCCACCATTTTATAAATAACTCTAAACACAGAAGTAGTTGATTTTGTTTAAAATTTTCAACGCTGCAATTTATCGATTTCTAAAAATCTGCTTTTCAGAGAAAAGGAGACATTTCGAAAAACACGACTAGGTCATTCAAAAATTGAATGCTCTCTCCTTGCTACCATAAACCAGTCTACTTTATGAAGTAATCAATTTCTTCCTCTGTTTTTATAAGATATTTCGTAATGCTTGAATATTTCTTTGTAATTATTTTAAATTTATTAGTAATCTAGCTACAGTACTCTCCTCGGGGATCTTTTTTATCATGGCTCTTAACTTTTAATTAGAATTATAAGTAAGTTTTATATTTTCAACCTAGCTAAAATGACTTGTCATTTCTTTCCTCTACTCGAAAAAGTTTGAAAGTTTCTTATCGCCTTATCATATAATGGAGACGCGTATTTGCTTTATGTAAATTTTGAGATGTTGAAATGGAGCCATTTGGGGGGAGAATGTTTGAAAATTTTATATTCAAAAAAGTTTCTTGTTTGTAATCTCTTAGTAGTTTAGTGGCATTATGGCGCAACGCTGCGTCTTTGTTCTTCTTGTTTAATTTTGAATGGTCTGGAGCAATTGGACGTTACGTTTTTGTTTTTCATTAAAAATTATATGATGCCAGTTGTCTTTCTTCAGTTGTTTCAGCTATTCGTTGTGACTATAATGAAATTCAAATGCGTATTTATAAACGTCGAAAGTTATGATGATTCATGATGAAGTGATGAATAAATATTTCATGGCAAATGGGCAAAAACCTTATTTTTTCTCTCAAACCGAAGACGTCACTTAAAATTCTAGGCGGTAAGCTGAACATGATGTCTCGTGATCTTGCAAGTTAATGGTGCAGCGACTGGCCGAAGGTGAGAGGTCAATTTTAAACTTTGTAAGCAATTCTTCATTCTCGGCGACCCAGTATCCCAACACGTCAGTGTCATAGGTCGGGATTATCGTCACTTCCAAATCCTTATCCTCCCACGTTTGCTTTGCCTCCAGCAGAGCGTTATAAACGTCCTTGCTGGGTTCAATGCCCGAAAACACATAGTAGCGTGCCCTCACTCGTTTGAAGAAATCGACCTGGCTGTAATACGAGTTGCCATGATGTGGAACATATGTTAGGTCGACGTAAACCGGATTGATCTTCTTTTTCTTTGACGGTGATTCTGATCTCTGATTTAGCTTGTTTTTGACGCTCACATTCATAGGCAGTCTTTTCTCTTTCTTTGGTGTTCCTTTGTTATCGTTTGGAGGCGCTGGACTAGGCAAACCCAGTGGTTTACCCCAAGCCCGAACTTCTTCTTCTGTTTTATCATCTGTTGGCAGATCGCCGATGAAACTAGACGTCATTAAATTAGGTTCATTGCGTGGCTGAACCCGATCGATATCCTCTTCATCACTATCCACAGGTAAAGCTCCATAAAACGATGTACTCATTGGATCAGCATGAAATCCCGACGCAGACATTAATTCTCCCTGCGACGGTTTTCTTTCAGATTTGCTAGGACTAGGTGTGGAATCAGTTTGTCGTTCCGCGTCAATAAATGCTTGAACTGTGTGTTTTTCTTCTTTTCTATCCGGAGTGGACTTACCGGACATCATTGATGATGTTTTGGTATTTTCTGAAGTAATGGAAAACTTTCTGTAGTCTGAATCATCAGCCCCGGACATAACCGAAGACTTTCGCGAATCTTTTGCGAATTCAGGCGTTGACTTACCGGAGATTGTCTCTTTAACCATCTCCAATTTGGATGTGTCGTGTTTTTCATGTAGTATATCCCCGTTTTGTGTTTTTTTCTCATCGAAAGACGAGGTAATTGTCTCCTCCATCAATTCACGGAATACATGCGCTGATTGAAGCTGCGTTACATCGAATGAGCTCGATACATCGCTAATAGTAGTTGTAGTTTTACCCTGTTCATCCGATACATGAACATCTGGACTAGATTTGCCTCGTAGAGGTGTGGATTGACCGGAAATTGGCAAAGAATCTTTCTTCGTCAAATCTGAAGGAGCTGCAAAGTCTGGGGTGGATTTACCGGAGAGTAAATGCTCTGCCTGCATACTGCTGCGTTTGCCAAAATCTGGTGTTGATTTTCCTGAGTCATCGTGATGCGATAGTTTGGTGCTGTCTGGAGTTGATTTACCTGACAAAATATGTTCTGCTTGAATACTACTCCTCTTTGCAAAGTCAGGACTTGGAGAGCCAGCAAACGAATGCGTTTTAATTTCTTGTTTTAAAGATTCAGCTGTGGTAACTATTGAAGATTGAATTGTACTTGACGTGGTTGTAATAAAACCTACTTGCATTGAAACCTGAATCAGGTGTTGATTTTCCTGACAGTGCTTTCATTTCATCTTTTAAATCTTGAAGATCAGATTTCATTGGGAAGGCGGGTTCTGGTGTAACTTTACCTGATGAAATGTCTGGCTCAGGAGTCACTTTACCAGACAATCCAGGAGTTGATTTCCCAGATGCAATGCTATCACGGGACAAACCATTTTGATGGTCAGGTGAAATAGGCGTTGATTTACCAGATGGCAAGTGGCACTGTAAATCGTCCACATCAGGAGATGATTTACCAGATAATAATTCAATTTCATCTACTCGTACTTTATGTGTTTCTTGTGATACTTTTTCATCTATTGTCATGGTCTCTAACCTGCCAAGATCAGGAGTTGTCTTTCCAGATGTTACGCTTACTGTATCCTCTGCTTGAAGTTTATCTTTGTGTGGGTCAGGTGTTGATTTACCAGAAACATCTTTAGGAATAGTGACACTATCGCGTTTACATTCCAAAGTTTGTACATCTGGACTAGATTTTCCTGATTCCTTTGTTTCCTTTGAAATGTCTGGAGTACTTTTACCCGATGGAGCTTTCTCTGTTGTTGCCTGAAGACTCTCTTTCCGAAGAGTTGCGGATTCTTCTATAGAAGAACTTATTTTCTCTGAAACAACTTTTTCTAATTTCTCTTCAATAGAAACTTTTTCCGATACTAGTTTATCATCAATCTTTGTAATGTCAGGTGTAGATTTACCCGAGACAACATGATCGGCGTGAATGCTGCTCTTGCGACTATCGCTCGCTTCACTGGGTTTCAAATCTGGTGTTGATTTTCCAGTCGCCAGAGATTCAACTTTTAAGTTCAAGCTGTCATCGAGCTGAATGCTGTCCTTTTTAGCAACAGGTACTTCAGGTGTAACTTTACCACTTAATATTGTCTTCTGATCTTTTCCCAAATCAGGAGTGGATTTTCCAGATTTCAAATTATCATCGATATGTACAGAATCATCTTTTGTGTCAACAGCTTTAGAAGGTAATATTTCAGGTCCCTTTTGACTATCAACACCTGATTCTCCATTTTGTGGGCTGGATTTCTCAACACATCCTGAATCTTTATTGCTGCTTGGTGTTGATTTACCAGAAGAAATCGAAGTCTTTTCTTCTGCTAAACTTTCAGGATGACCCATGTCTGGTGTAGATTTACCAGATAAAACTTCCCCTTTGTGTACATCCGGTGTAAGTTTACCCGAAGCTAAACTATCTGTTTCAATATGTGTGCTGAATTTATCGACATCTGGTGTTGCTTTCCCTGATGATAAGTCATGCTTCAGATCTGGTGTCATCTTTCCTGAGGCTAAACTATCCGTATCCATTTGAACACTGTAAGGCGCAACACTACTCGGAAGATCAACATTTACATCAGGTGTTTGTTTACCTGATGCAAGACTATCTGTGTCCAATTTGATGCTATCACCTTTTCCAAAATCAGGTGATGACTTTCCTGATTTTGATACATCTGGAGTACCTTTGCCAGACAATGCCGGCGATCTTGGGATACTACCTCGTGGCAATACGTCAGTTTTTGGAATTTCAGGTGATGATTTTCCTGAAATATTATTTATTTCTGGAGTTGATTTACCTGAGCCAATTTCATCTACAATATGATTTGACAATTCCTCAAGTTTTTCATTCTCGATTCTTGTACAACATGTCATATTTGACAATTCTGTTGTTACCTCGTGTGTGCTCAATTGTACTTCCTCCTTGGAGTCAGATAAAGTTTCAATTGCAGTTGTAACAGATGAAATTTCACACTTCTTATCTTCAACTGTGGTCGACGTTGATGAATTTGTTGTTTTAGTAACTTCTTCAACTGAGTCAAACGTTGGTTGAAGATCTGGAGATATTTTTCCATTTATTGCTGATTCAGTTTCTATTGAAGTAGTTTTGGCAACTTTTTCATCAATTTTAGAAATTTCGCTATCAGCTAATATCTTTTCGACTGATTTAACTGTTGATTTTTCTTCGTGTGTTACAGTTTCAACAATTGATGATTTATCAGATTCCAGTACAATACTACTTCGTTTTGCCATGATTGTATCCGATTTTGTAATATCAGGAGTTTCTTTGCCTGATTTTGGAATATCTGGAGTAGATTTCCCTGATTTTGAAATATCAGGAGTTGCTTTACCTGAGGGTATGTCCGGTTTTGAAAGATCAGACGTGATTGTTTCAGGTTTCAATACTTCAGCTGTTATTTTCTCTGATTTTATGTCTGGAGTTGATTTGCCAGATTTCAAAATAACATCATCGATTACAGTATCTTTAGTACTATCGGGAGTTATTTTACCATTTGTAATCTCAGGAGTTGCTTTTCCTGATTTTAAAAGATCTGAATCCGTTTGCTTGAATGTAGGACTTTCGGGAATCGCTACTCCTGATTTTGGTATATCAGGAGTTGATTTACCTGATTTAGGAATATCGGGAGTACTTCTGACAGGTGTTGGAATGTCAGGGGTTGCTAACCCCGATCTGCTGGTTCCTAATAGTTCTTTATCTGCTTTAGATAGATCAGGAGTTGATTTTCCGGATTTTGAAGTATCAGATGTTTCCTTAATTGAGGTGGAAATATCTGCTTTTGCTAATGGAGAATGAGGTACGTCAGGTGTTGCTTTGCCAGATGGGATAACATCTGGGGTTGATTTTCCAGATTTTGGAACCACCGGAGTACCACGATCAGAGGCAGGAATGTCTGGTGTTGTTGATCCTGATTTTGAGACGTTGGCCATTTCTTTCTCTGATTTTGGAATATCAGGCGTCGATTTTCCTGATGTTTGAATACCTGGAGTGACAGAAATATCAGGTGTTGCTGGTTTTGAGATTTCAGGAGTGGCTTTATCAGATTTCGTAACATCAGGTGTAGACTTTCCAGATTTATGACTATCTGGTGTTGCTCTATCAGTTTCAAGAATATCAGTTCCTACCGCAGTTTTCGATGTATCCGTGAGTGTTTTGTCTGATTTTGAAATATCAGGTGTTAATTTTCCTGATTTGGCAACACTTTCTACTGTTTCATCAACAGATATAGGAATATCCGCCGGAGTTGCGGTAGATTTTGGAATATGAGGAGTTTCTTTGCCTGATTTTGGAATATCAGGAGTAGATTTACCACTCTTTTGATTATCACTTGTTGCCACTTCAGATTTGGCCATATCAGGTGTAGCTTTGCCGGATTTTGAAAGTTCTGGCGATGATTTTCCAGATTGTGCAATGTTAGACGTAATTGGTTTCTCAGTTGCTGAAACAGTAGCGGAAACCAAATCATCTGGAGTAGATTTTCCTGATTTTTTGTCATCCGATATATCCTTGTCAGCAGTTGTTGGAATATCAGGTGTTACTAATCCAGATTTTGAAACGTCTGGTGTAGCTTTTCCCGAGGTTGGAATATCAGGGGTTGCTTTTCCTGATTTAGAAACATCAGGCGTTGCTTTTCCAGATGCTGCAATATCTGAAGCTGCTAGTTCCACCTTGGACACATCAGGTGTTGTTTTGTCCGATTTCGAAATGTCTGGAGTAGATTTTCCTGATTTTGGAATATCTGGTGTTGCTTTATCAGAAATTGGAATATCAGGTGTCGCTTTTCCAGACAAAGGAATATCAGGTGTTGCTTTACCAGAAGTTGGAATATCAGGTGTAGCTTTTCCTGATTTAGAAACATCAGGTGTTGTTTTTCCAGATTTTGCTAAATCAGGAGTTGATTTTCCAGATTTGGATACCTCAGTAGATTTCTCCGATTTGTTATCGGCGCTTTCAACAATTGACGATTTCCTAGACTCACTTTCCTTTTCCAATCTTTCTTCGGTTGCCTTATTATCCTCAAATTGTTCAGCAATCTCAGGTTTCTTATCATCCTTATCAACTTTGTCTTTGGTCTCAGGAATATCCTCACTCTTCATTTTAGCTGATATTTCTGGTTCCTTTTGTAAAACGGATGGAGCATCTTGACTAGATTCGGGGCTTGGAGTTTCTGGTTTCTGATTTTCATCTTTGCGTAAATCTGGACTTGATTTTCCAGAACTTTCAGAACTCTTCGGGAACGTTATTGACCCTGGAGGACAAATAACAGTCTCTTCACCACCATCTTCACTAGATGCCGTTACTAACATTCGATGTACAGTGCCAGTATCAACATTCTCTTCAACCTCTTCGTCTTCCTCCGCAATTTCATCTTCTTTACGTTCCTTAATGTCAGAAATAATCTTTGAACTGGCTTCTAGCAATTCATTGCTGGTTTTAATCAAGGTATTGATTTTACTCGTATTGGAATTTGAATCAATGTCATCTTCCATCTCCTTTAAAACCTCATCAATCTTCTCCTCCTTTATTGGGGTTATTTGACCCGGCATATCAGTAATTGGCGAATCCACAGTTGTAATATGAGTTTCTCGTAGTTCAGTTGTGTATGGAGTAAATGTAGGGAAAGTAGTAATCTCGAGTGGAATTTTTCCTTTAAACTCCTCCAATGGCGCTTCTGATTTCAAAACTTCAGCCACACTGGCGACTATTTTCGCAACATCTTGTTCGCGTTCTTTTGGAGATTTCCGACCCAAGTCAACTTTATCGATGTAATCAAACGGTGTGGGACATGGCGATTCTGGACTTTCTTTGAGATTAATTACTTCGGGAAGTTCTACATCTACATTTTGCACAACAATACTTGTTTCGACTGTTGGTACAGATTCGGCAATACTTGAATCAGTTTCTTTTAATTCTTTTGTTTCAGTTTCTTTTTCGTCAACTTTTGTTTCACCTAAGACTTTTCCAACTTCCTCAACCAACTTATCACCAATTGATTTCGTTGTTTCTTCCAATTTGGATAAACCCTTTGAGAAAAATCCACTGATAGAATCAGTTTCTTCTTTGACAGTTGTTTTAACTTTATCGACAATCTCAACTGCCTCTTGTTCAATGGCTTGCTTTGACTGTGAGATATCTTCTGAAACTTTAGATATTTCTGCTTTAGCTTCGGAAACTAACTCGGTGGTCATTTCTTTAATTTCTTCAATTTCAGTAGACGCCTTGGTAATTGTCTCACGCACAGTTTCTTTGGTAGACTCAATTTTTTCAGTAACGGATTCTTGAACTGCTGATACTTTGGTTAACACTTCATCTTGAACAGCTGATTTTATCTGTTCGGTAGTTTCTTCAACTTTTGTAATTGATGTGCTAACAGTATCATCAACAGTTTTTTCAACATCCTTCAAATCTTTTATTTTTTCATCAACTTGTGCATGAATAACTTCACTCACTTCTTCAACTTTCGAAATTTTTGAGTCTACAGTCTCTTTGGTATCTGTAAGTTTTTCATTTATGGTATCTTCGATTGTTTTTGTTATTGCACCTACAATTTGTTCAACTTCTTTTTCAAAACTGTCAATTGATGGTTTTTCTTCATCAACTTTTTCATTCACTTCGGTAACACCTTTTTCTTCTGAAATTGCTTCAACGTGCTTGACTTCATCAAGACTTTCATCTTTCTTAGTTGTCTCCTGTTCTTCTTTAGTCTGATCAGATTTGATAGTATCCACAACTTCATCAGCAATCACGGGCACTTCATCTTTAACCTCACTTTCTTTCTTTTCAGCAACTTTAATTTCTTCGGCATTTGTTTCAGTAATCACCAATTCTTTAGTTTCTTCAAAAGTATGCTTGACAACGTGTTTAACCTCACTTATTTCTTCAACTGCAACTTCTTCCTTCACCTTTTCTTCAACCTCCTTGGTTTCAGTTTGGACTTCTTTTATTTCTTCTTTCTCTACCTTTTCATCCGTAACTAATTCTTTAGTATCCACTAAGTCTTCTTTAATCACATTGCTAACATCAACGGCAGTCTTCTGAACTTCACTAATCGTTTCTTCCACAGCCTGTTTTGATTCCTCAACAATATTGATATCTACACTTTCCTTTTCAGCGTCAACCGCTTCTACATCATTTACGACAGTCTCTTTGCTTTTGTCAACAATATCCTTGGACTCTTCGATTATTTCCTCGACAACAGCCTTCACTTTATCCTTAACCTCATCGAATATTTCATCGACGACAGCTTTCACTTCTTCCTTCACCTCTTCCACAGCCTTTTGTACATCCGTTTTAGCATCCTGCAGTGCTTCCTTCACTATCGTCGTTGTTTGCTCATCCGTGGTCTTCTGATAATCGGCGTAATGGTCTGCAACCTCATGAACTGGAAGATCAGCCACTTCGTCGGGAGTCTTAACAATGTCTCTGATGTGTTGCTGTTTGTCTAAGCGAATGCCCACGACTGGAACAGCTTTAACAGGTGGTGTGGAATCAATGCTCTTCGATGGAAGTTGAATTACTGGAATCGAATCTTTTTCTTTTGTTTCCTCCTTGACATGTTTTTCTTCGATAACCTGCGTATCATCCTTCTCTTTAATTTCATCAAGTGGAATTCGTTCATCTTCGGGTAGGGTGGGTGCAGTAGTCGCGCCCGATTCAACCGTAGCTGAGAACTTTTCATCAGGTTGAGTACCACTCTCAACTTTATCAACTTTTTCTTCCGGACTAATTATTTCCTTGGCCGGTTCAACCTTTGGATCACTTAGTTTGCGTTGTTTTTCGGATTCCTCGCTGTCACGAATAAGTTTTTGAATTTCATCTTCCTGAACTTCAACTTCGACTTTCTCAATAACCAAATATTCTTCATCCGTTTTTTCTTCAATGGAAATATTCTTAATCTTGCGCATTTCCGATTCACTGGCTTCTCGCTCTTCGCCTTTCCTGAAGACAGCTTCAATTTCTTGCACTACTTCTTGCTCTTCTTGTAAATCCGCTAGTTCTTGAGCTTTCAATTGATCGAGCTCTTCGGGCGTTAGTTTAGATATGTCGCGTTTTACATCAACATCAGCAGTCGGGGTGCTAACAGTACTCGAATCGGTTGTACCCTCTTTATCGAGTTTAGCCTTCTTTGCAATCGAATCCGGCTTCTTTCTGATTGGACTACCGGTGGCTGCTTTAACTGCAGGTGCCGCTGCTGGCTTGGGTCGTCGTGAAATCGGTTTACGTTCAACTTTCTTTTCTGCATCCCCTTTTTTGTCGGCTGGCTTAGACTCTTTCTTTTCTTTGGGTAGTTGCTTCTTGGATTCTAAAACCTTTCTATTCGATGCTTCCTTTGCGCTTTTCGCAGGTGTTGTGGTTGGAGAAACTTTAGTCGCTTTCGGTTTAGTTGCATCACCGTTGGCTATCGTTTTCTTGGGTGTTGTTGGCGACGGCTTCTTCTCAATTTTTGCAGATGGTTTCCGCTCCACCGATTTTGAGTCTTTGTCTCTTATCCTTGGCGTTCGAGAGGTTGTTGTGGTTTCCTTCGCGTCTTTTGCAGTTTTTATCTCCGCTTTATTATTAGGTTTAGCTGCACTCTTATCACTATCAGTCGAGTCAGATTTTTTTATTTCTTTCTTTATTTCAGGAGTGTCAATAGTTTTGTTGTCTTGTTGCTTTGCTGCTTCTTTCGGCTCCTTCGGCTTGATGTCATTAAGTCTAGGCGATTTCTCTTTCTTAACCTCTGGAAGTATTTTCTGCGACTTGGAAGAATCAAAGATTTGTTCTTTGGTCTTCTTGGGTGGGTTCAATGAAATTTCTGAACAAATAGGGTATTTGATGCAGTCTAATTGTTTCAGTCGATCTAGTCCTTCGAATATTTTACTTTGAGGAGTACTTCCAGGGAAGAGGATTCTGGTAATGTTTTCCGAGGAATTGGAAGGCTGCCACACGAGAAGTGCACAAATTGACACAAGATTCGGAAGTGGGAACGAGAACTCTTTGGTTTTCGGGTTGGAGAATAGTCGATTATCGTTACTATTCCATTTCTGAATAAACTCGCGCACTTCACGAGAATCCTTCGCCGGACTAAGAACGTACATGTCAAGCGTTCCATGGCCTACTTTGTGATATAGGTTTATGGGCTCAGAGTCCCGGTAGCATGTCTGCGGGTGTAGATTAAGATGTTTCAAGTTGGTTACAATGTCCTGTCCCTCGTCCATTAAATTAATCAGAAGTGGATCACGATCTTTATCGCCGTCCGGGCTCAACAATGCCTTCCTTTCCTAAATAAAAACAGAAACAAAAAGACATAACAACTACGCATCAACAACCCACCAATAAATTACATACTTGTATATTGCAGAAAAAGTGTCCAATTTGTGGATAAACGGCGTTTTGTCGTTTCCGCTTCAATACTGATGTAATGCCGCTCACGTTGCTATTATTTAATCTGGTTAATAGGACGGCGTCTAATCGATCGAGATGCCGCACAAAATCCCAAAAACAAGCTTTCCTTGAGAAGCCACCGTCCAGGAGCATATTGAAACCGTTGATGCCAAAGAGTGCGGCGTCACCCTGACCGCCCGGGAACACATAGAGTGTGGGATGCGAGAAGCGAATATTGCCAACTACCTCAGAGCTCTCCAATGCTGTGACGATGTCAAGCGGAACCAAATATGGCGTGATGTAATTGAGAAAATCCGCGATTGCCAGACTACTGCTCGGCAAAACATCGACGGGATTAAGACGCACTTTGCAATTCTTCGCGAATGGTTCCTTCGGTACCCGCGTCCAGTCGCCCTCCGGTGAGCAATGAATATCAACAGATATGCCATTGTCATACGCACGAATCACGCGCTGCACTTCCAGTTCCTGAAACGCTTCCGAAAAATCCGCGAGCGAAAACGTGCCATCCTGAAAATTTGTCAATATCACAGACGTCTGTTAGTCTGACCGCCCCCAAACAAGGAAACAACATAAAACGTACTTGCAGCGCCCATGAACCGTTGGCAGCGAACGTGTAGCCCGAGTGGATGATGTGTCGGTGTCTCGTAAAACTGCTTAGCAAGTTCCTCACGCACTGCGACAGCGTACTCACGGCCGGATGAATCAATATTTCCGTCACCAAGTTCTCGGAGGCATATTGGATTAAACGTTCGCCTGTAACAAACGAAAAGTATGTATTAATCATCCACACCTAGCGCAAAGAATCGAATTTTGATGCTCGACTGCTTCACGGCAGGCGACGTAGAATATTGAATAAGTAATACTGTAATTAATATCAAATGCGTAACTGTAGCGGCGTCTCTACAGGTACGTACATTAATACTGCATGCATTAATCAACCAATTTTCCGGCTGGAAGTTGGCAGCTGTGTCAAAACTTGGGTGTCGTGCAGGCTAATGTTGCGGATTAGTCTGCGACAGTGCAGAACTAAAAATCGCTGGGATCACAGAGCACACTGCTCAACTAACTTGCGACACTAATTTAACTTTGTTGCAAGAGTTATACGTTCAAAAACTTTCCTAACTAAAATGCTGTTTGTCGTAAACTTTCATCAGGCGATGGTGACTCTCAGATGGGAAAAAATATGAAGCGTATATTCCATTTTTCATCGTTGGCTCAAACATAAACAAAATTTATTTGCCTTTTCTTTTCGTACAATGTCGAAGCTCGCTGATAGATCAATATTGACACGACAAAGCACTCAGATTATATTTACGCAGCCTTTGACATTTTAAATTTTCTTCAGTATTCAGCCTTAGACTTTTATTAAATGCTTCTACACACATTCTACTACATTTTCTTGCTTTTAAGATAGTCCTAGTAATTAATATAATGTTATGTAGTAGCTTTATATATGCCATAAAAATAGGAGTAAAGTTACCTAAAAATAAAGTGTTTGCTGAATATAAACGTACATTTACATATGTGAATAAAACGTTTGTGATGCTTGAAAAATGGAATATATTAGCATTTATGAGAAGAGCTTTATTTGGAAGCCCAATTTTGCTGTTTTCTCCCTTTCGGCCTATCGTACATTCCCGCTGGCTTTACATCCGCTGCCAAAAACCGGTAATATTAAATATGTAGCCACACCTTTCGACGCTTTATAAATTCTCAATTCGGCGTGAATTATTACTCGGTCCTTTGCTTTCGCGGTGATATACGCGAATTTAAATAAAAATTCTTTGATAGCGTATTTTATTGATGTGAACACAAAAAGTAACGCCGTGTGCATGGGAATAATTTCCGACTTTGGATTAGATTCTTGGCGCACAAAAGTTGCGCGCAAAGAAAAACGACAAGATGAACAAGTTCAGATTGAAAATATTGAATGTGTCCGGGAGTGCAAGGTAGAGTACTCGACTGCGTTGGCAAATACTCGTTTCAACAATGCTCCCCGACTTGTCGGCGACTTTTTATATCACAATTGTTGAAGCTGATGAAATGTGTTTTCTTGGCAAGCATTCCAGTAGTAACGTATATTTCGCATGTAAACTGCTTACCGATTGAAATTCCACTGGGTATTCTTAACAATTACGTATTACGCGTAAAAAATAATAAAAAAATGAAACAACGCAATAAGTAATGATTTTCTTTTTTTAGTCTGAATCAGCCCATCGAGGGGTCCAGAGAATTTTCCATTTAAACGCGTCTGGCTTTTGTTATGCCGTATTTTTCAGCTGTAGCAGAGGAAAAAACAACGCAATCTCGTATTTTTCATCTAATTACATTGAGCACGACGACGCAAACCATTTCCACGTCCCCCACATTCCAGTCGTAACGCAATGACTTGTTTTTCGGTATTTTTTGTGGTGTGGCTTGAAAGATTGTGAGATTGGAAACGTAGAAAATAAAAACCGACGAGAAATTTTCCAGCATACAAAATGTGCACCGCCAGCATTATGTAATCTGTAGTTAATTAACGCGATGGCAAAATCGTATAACAGGCTTACCGTAACGAGCCTCTTCACCTTCCGGTGCCTGCTCTGTAATTATGGCAAGCTCTTTCTCCAGGTCCACCATGCAATCGCTCAGGTCCCATGACAGCAAACCTGAAACAAGAATATGTAATATTAGAATCATTCGACGCATTCATCGAAAAATCTGCGTGCTGTCATTACATGGCAACAGCAACACAAAAAACATGAGCGATAAATGTAACAAGATAAAATAGGCCGACAGAGGGTGTAGGCTGATAACGATAAATTCACACGAAAATCGCTTGAATGAATCGGGCGTTAAAAATACATTATTTACATGGATGATATATCGGTGCTTATTTATGTTCAGGACTTGTGGTAAAGAATTTCCGTGGAGCAACACTACAAGGCGGAAAATTGTGAAAATCGCAAGGAAAAAGAAAAAAAAAGGTAAAATTCTGGGATATAAAATCCAATTTATTAGACACGCTGGCGTTGGCTCGCTACGTTTTAGCACTTTCGCACGTCCGAGCGTAATATAACGCGTTACTAAAGCAAAGTACCCTTACAGTATTTTCTAAAGGACCATATTCGTAATCCTTCAGAATTTAATTATATACCTCTACGATTACACACAACACGCTTGAGATCCTGTCCGAATTTCAGTCACCGAACACCGGACAAGTGATGATTAAGTCCTGAATGCTAACGAAAATGTCACAGAATTGTGAACAGAATTGCGTAATTTTATTTAAATTCCGAAAAGCCATGTAAACACTACATTCGTTACAATTGTATCAACATCTTGCCGCTGGGAGTTAGCACTTCTTGCGCGTATGTATGTATCTACATAAATTAACCCCGTTGGGTACAATTACTTGGCTTGGCAACTACTTCTCTAACTTTTGCAGCCCGAATTCACAACCTAATTAGGTTTCTCGCTGAAAGTGCTCGGCAAACCGAAAACCGTTTTAATTGTTGGGAATTAAATGTAGATATTGCAGTGGTGAGACGATTTATGTTTTATTTGAGTGGTAAAATGTTCAAATTAGATATGAATTATTTCATTATCATTATTGTATGCGTAGTTGATGTTTAAAATCAATAAACATAACGATCCCATTGTCCCCTTTATCGAATGTAAACGTCATTAGAAGGGAATTGAATATATCATCCGCCGTTTGGACATTTGAGCAAACAGAATAAATTTGTATTAATGGAGTAAACAGAGATGTTGTGTAAAGTTGTTATATTTTCGCCGATAGAGGGTGCAAAATCAATATTTATATAGAATGGCTTTTTGTTTCAATTTTGGTAATAGGTGGGTATCCGTTAGGCTACTAATGAAGCAGGGAAGCAGCGATTATAAGGGGTACCGCAGAAAACTTTTCCAATTATCTACAACTCGAGCAATTTCAAGAGAAGCTAATATTTCCATACAATGCTGGCGCGGTGGCTGGATTCGAGCGTTCGAAGATGAACAACATGTACGAGACGGATGGCATTAGGCGGTTTCATTTTCAGCCACAAAAGCCGCAGGAAGTGGGAAAGCAAATTAACGCGACATTGTTTCAAAATTGTTCGATACAAAATGTTTGGGTATTGTTAAGCCCTACCCTTCTCATTTCCCAACGACACTCTTTAACGTAGAATTAATTAAGTTATCTGTTTTAGTTTCGCGCGGCAAGTGTCGACGCAAACACGTTTATTGTGCGAAAGTGGTGTTTCAGAAACTGCAAATCTTTCAATGCTTCAATACCTGCACTTGTGCAGAGAGTGGGAAGATACTCAGACTAATGGGATGTCTATAATTAAAGCAACATTTAGTCTGAGTGCAATGTGAACGACCCCAGCACAAAATATGACAAGTAGAAATTTATCTAAGCACATAATTAATTATAGAAATGAAATAATGATTATTTCATTATTATGGGGGCCGTACGAAGATAATAAATTAAATTTAGATCCATTATGGAATGTCTATCAAATTAGTTATTAGTATCTTTTCCTCGGGACGAAAATAGATTGCGTTCGTTCAGTGTAGTATAGCAATGTAGCGTATCGGAGTGTTTATCGATTGTGGAATACTATTAACAAGAAACCCGTAAAGGTCAGCTGACCGGCATTATTTAATATGCACACGAAACATACTTCCAAGCAAAAGGAATGTAAATTATAATGCCAAAATTGGAAAACGCTGCATTGCAGATTTTTAATATTCGCGTCAGGAAAAGAACCAATGCGTAAACATAAATCTAAAACTACTTCACGATCACGATCAAGGCACTAGTTTTATTTAAAAACTCGTGGGAGGTGTAGGCTGGTAGACTCAAGTCTAATTTAAGAACGTTAAGAGTGCGATTCTGAAAGACAAGACGAGAAATGTTAGGTCAGGGCGTTGACAATTCGTGAGCGCGTCTTAATTCTAATTTCCTTCTTCGTGCTTCGACAACATAAGCTCGTGATGTTTCACGATCGCATACTTTGCGTCTCAGTGAAGCTTAGAGTTGGTTTATAAATAAATGTGCATGGCAAATGCATCCGAAGAGTTGCGATATTCGGAAGATTCACGTGCGGACTGAAAATAACATATTTATTTATATATCAGCGAGACACTCCAAAGTCAGTAATGTGAAGAAGCTCCAAAGTCATCGAAAACACTTGAAACATTAATAATTCTTCAGATTTATACGCAGAAACTTTGATTTTTAAAAAAAACAATTCCAATAAAATTCCTTTACGTAATATTCAATGTAAATATTATTTATAATCGGATATTCATTGGAAATTTCATTCGATTGTAATTGGAAATGTTATTTACTCAGAGATGCAAAAAGGTTCAAATGAAATTGTATAATAATTGAACATATTCATGAGTAACTTTTTTATACCAAATTATACCAAATTTTATACCAAAATAAGATGAAAACTTTCGACAATTCAAAAAGTATTCAAAAGTAAAAAGTTCCCAAAGTATAATTAATTTAAAATTCTTTCCTGAACAAGAATTTCATTCGTAGCCGGACAAAATTTCTATTACTTCCTTTGCTTTACGTTAAAAGCAGAAATAAAAATTGTTTTTCAAAAACAAGCGTTTGTTTGAGAAATTATTAACGCATCCGTAAGCTTCGCACTTGCTCGCAGATTTTCCACACAACAGCCAGCTGAAGCAGCTTTTCATTGCGTTCTCATTGTTCGCAGCCAGGATCTGTGAAAAATGGGTTTAACTTGATACCTTGCAAAAGCCCTGCATTGTGTGCAATATAAAGAAAGTGCAGTTAACACTGCAGGAAAATTAAACGGAATTTATATTTCAGATAGCTTAAAAGATTACGTTTATGGTTTATGTTTATTCGAAATAAATCATCGTAAGTATTCAATCTGTATGTGTGTGCGAGAGTTAAATTTGCAGTTCTTCGCCCTCTTGTGCTCGTTGACGTTTTGAACGCGAGCCAATTTTTCGGAGATTCCTTTTGTACTTGCTCACTGCGCGATCTAAGTGCATGTTCCTTTACGTTAGACAAGCGTGTACCACACAAAGATGAACGACAGCATCTAATATATCTGAAGGGTTTATTGTTCCTCTTTTATCTTTCACTCCGAGACGCTTGGTTTCGGCAGTCTTTATGTATTAGCAGCCAAAACCCCGGGGAAAATTCAGCGTCTATATAACATCTCATTAAATGCAGAAAATTGTAATATTCCTCACAAAGTGAATCCCAGCTTTTATCGCAAAGTGTTAATCATCAGTTATGAGACTTGGTTACGTCAAGATGATGAAGCCAAGGTGTTATGAACATGCGTAGCGCTGCATTTTAATGAATTCGTGTCCTATTTAGCAATTAACGTGTTGAACATGGAAAGCGCTTGACACAATAAATCTCCACCGTTGACCTTATGAAGCAGTGTTCACGACAGGTTGAGAAGATTGATGATGCAAGCTCAAGCTCAGACAGTGGTGTACCGCGAAATATTAAACCCCTTCTTGCATTGTGTATGCACCCACTTCAAATGCTTGCAAGACCGCAATACCAGGATGTCGGGCGCACCACCAAACCTCCACTTGTAATATTATTATAGGATTTTCGTGCGACGGATGTCGGATATTGTTGAAATATAAGGTGAGGGTAGCCAGCGTGTGCAGCAACGTGTAAAATTTAATATCCTTTTACTCTTTGCTCTCTGGCTTATCGCAAGCGCACAACAATGCGTCTCCCGGTGTGTTTACAACCTCAAAGTCTTAAAAGACTTAACAAGGACGACAGTCGCCAAAGCCTGCGGAGATTTTTATTATGCTGGTTTATTTTTTGCCATCTCGGATTATTTATCGATCTGAATCTCTCGCGTGCGCATTGCTTTTTAGAAAAGAAAAAATATGATTGATGCCCTAAATAGATCTAAAAGCAATTTTCGTATCAATTTGTTGCTCATATAGGTAACACATGCTTTCAATTGATTTTTTGATGTAACCTTAAAAATATATTCGACCAGTTAATAAACTAAAAATATTCTACGGTCCTAAACAAATATTTTAAGTTCAGGTTTATAAAATATTCAAAAATATGCTGCCACGCGCAGAAATATTTCTTGCACAGCGTAAATATTACTTTAGTCAACCGTGGATGATAATTTAATGCTGCCTAAAGAGTTTTTCCTCCGGTGGGTATGTACCAACGCGGCAATATGTCAAATTCACGTGCAACGTACACAACCCCCAAAGACCACACATCCACCACATTCATATGTCTCGCTTTTCCCGCCTGCTACGCGGAGTCTGGTCTGGTTTTTATGCTTTCATGACCATGACATCGCAAACAACGATAAATATTACGCGAAAGTCAAATAAAAAGACGGAAACACAACAGAAATATTCGCCGCATGCAAATAACCATTTATCATTGTTGTAAGTTATCAAGGTTGGATTTATTTTCGCGCATATAATTACAACGATTAAAACAAATAAGTAAGTAAATAGAACTCGGTCACTAGACGATGTGTTTCACACGCGCAGCAATCAAACATCCATGAAGGTCGCCGAATTGTCCAGTTCGGTTTCCACTCAAGCAAAACGGAAACCTAATACCCTAATACGTTTTATATCACTTGCTCAGTTCGCAATATCCGCGATACCTACGTCCAGCAAACATACTATTCACAGTTGTAGTTTATTAGTTTACCAGGCGGGCCTTTTCCGTATTTTCAACCGAAACTTCTGCGGGTTTGTCTCGCAGCCAGCGGCTTTCTCGTAACTTTCACAGTTTTATTTTATTTACCAAAATGAGGCACCCAGATCTTCCCTCTCTTGCATGCGCCACCATAATGGCACATTTCTCTACATCGCTCGTGTTTGCGTGCAGGAGAAAACACCAATCGCAATTCGCTGGAGAACGCCGCGCGTAATGTACAACAACTCCGCCTACATTACTTTTTATACAGAATATAAAATTCTCAGACGAGGCTTCGCATTCTGCGCATGGAATACGTCGGAATGCGCAATGATTCAATTCGAAACGCATTTTGTGCTTACACTTTTCAAATCTCAATAGACATTCATTCAACGACAGAAATAAACAGCTCGTTGGTTTTTTTTTTCCGCGTACGGAATGCTAGTCAAAGCAGATTTATAAATTTCAATTAAAGCTATGTGTATGTTAATTGCACATGCGTTCGTGAGCACGTGAACGCGAATAATTCCAATAAAAGTTACTCACTTGTGAAGAAAGTGAACAAACGTCCGTCTGAAGCGAACATGAATACCGCTATGAATAAGTTCCCTTGACGCGCCACTGAATATCGTAACAAAAACTAGCACACATTTTAGCATTGTTAATGACCAAAGCTGGCACAAAGCAGGAGCATTGTTCTGTGTAATTTTAGAAATTGATAATGTTTAAGACAATCAATAAAACACAATCCATTAGTAATGTCTAGACAGTAGCTAGAATTTATCACCTGCTAGTGATTCGCAATTTCCAGTCGGGAGGATGTGTTGAAAGCACTTAAATTCCCGGAATATGACATTAGTGCTTCCCGGAATCGCGAGCAGCAGTAATTCAAAAAGAAAAAAAATCTCAAGAGTGCTGGAACTAAGAGATGTACGAGTAAAATGTAGGAAGGATGAAGGAAAGAGTTAAGCGATACATAACCTCTGCACTGCAGGGAATACTTTCAGAATCTACTAGAATCTTCAACCATCAATTTCCAATAAAACTCAACGTTGTAATTTAATTTCAAAGTCTCAACTTTGAGTGTATGCTGTCAAATTGCTTTTATCCATCGATCGCAAGGTGATATATCCACTCAAATTGTGTGGAAAATAGAGTTAATTCCGGCAAACGAGATTAAAATACGAATTCGTCTTATCTTTTCCGCTTATCTCTGTTCCCACGAACGAAGAAAGACGTTGTAAGTCAAGGACATATAGGTATTGATACCACACGCAGGATATATTGAAGAGTCATTTATGTAAACGATGTTTTCGGATTTGGTATGTGTGCGACGTTAATAACGATAATTGGCAGAATATTCCGATTGCTTAGGAATGTGTGTCAATGAGATGACTAAATATTTAGGCACCGCGAAAACGCGCAATGTGTGCGAAACCGCCGCCGGCAGCGTGTGTGCAAAAGTGTGTGCTTTCGGGGTAGCGCAGAATTGCAAATTCGGGCAGGAGGGTTTTACCATCCTTCTCCTTTCGGCTGGTTGTGTATGTCGGGGTATATTGATCGATACGCAGGGGCCACGTCGGCTCCGAGGCTGCGCAGGTCAGTAGTGCGCAACTGCCGAGAACCACCACCATGGCGCCCGCCGACGCGCACATCCCCACATCGCTACCTTTCTGACCTCCAACGGCTCCCAACACTAGGCCCACGCCGGTTACGTAGTCCCTGTATTACATACTATTTTTCAGGAGCTATATTTCATCAGATATACCCGAATAAAAAGCGGGAACTAACGGAGAAGTTGTTGGCATATAAATGGCGTGGATGTCAACTGCTTGGAAACAGCTTGAATTGATTTATTTATATTTTATTTGATTTTCTTGCCCTCGTGGAATCCATGCGGACCACGCGTGGGTTACTCGAGTGTAACGTAGACGTGTTCCGGAAATATAAGTTTGGTATGAATATTAATGTCCAGCGCGAAACACAGCGTTACTCGGCAGACGTTTCACGTACTCTTATAACTTCTGCACGGCTGACTTCCATCGAAAAGAAATGTGAGGTCTCCCCAGACATCGATCCTAGGCCCGGTTTATAATTCGGCGCGTCGTTGTTATTTTATCCTCTGTCCTCATTAAAATATGTATATTCTCAATCAATACCGCCAGAATACCCGGTTTGGTCGATTGGACTAAAAGGGCATTCGGTGATGTCGAGAAGTACCAACTCGTTGAAATAATTAAATCAATTTCGGGCCGGCGAATTGGGGTTACCTCGGCGAGTATTTCTCACTTTTGTAGTAAATGCCGACGGAAAAGGAGTCCAGGACTTTTATCGATTTAACTATTTTCTTCCTAGCCAGCCAGTCTCGCCACTATTCGGTGGGCACCACACGCGACGCCAAACAAATAAAATGGAATTGTCGCCGAAAGCAGATTAAAACCCTAAATACCAACGATCCACGCGGCAGGAATATTGATTAATCCCAGTGGTGTTTTAATTAATGTCAATTTGGTTTGTTAATGTAAAATCCGGCGATAAAAACCGGCGAATTTCAATTCCAAGCGGAGAAACTCTTCAATCTATCGAATAGTTGAATGTATAATGAATTTACTTGAGAGTTGATAAAGGAGGGTTGCAGTAATTTGGAAAACGACGATACGAATGCGTATTTCGTAGGGATAATACATACGATAAAAGTTTAACGATACTCTAATGATTGCATTTATTTACTGTATACGTAATGTGCGTGTATGGGATGGCAATTGCAATGAAAAACCTCGCCCATTTTTTCCGCATGATGCGCCCGTAACTATAACCTCCATTAGGGCGAAAAACAACGGGTTGCAAACATTTTCATTTAGAAGGCGTGCAACCAACATCACTTTTATGAACAATACCGCTCGTTCAACTCCAGTTGGATGTTTTTTCCGCCGCACGCGGCTCTAATCCGCATTTAAGCACGTTTCCCTTGTTGACGAAGCATTAAATTTCATGCTCCGAAAGGGTGCAGATTTTCGCCGGCAGAGATTCCGCTCGTTGTTGGATTTCCGCACCTCAGCACACCCGTTCATTGCGTTCACAATGAAGATATAAAATACGTGTATTAAGCGATGTTATAACAATACAAACAAAACGTGCATGAGACACGCAAACACCTCACGCTCGCAGATGAGAGTGAATATAAAAGCTCATAAAATGCATTCACCTGCATGATACGAACAGTAAACCTAGTGATTCCTGTCACTAATTGATTTATGATGAATCCAACATTGCATATCGAATCGAATAACGGTGATCGATATAAAAAACTTAACGGATGCGCGACCATAAATAAGGGTACAGTACATAAAAATCAGCTGCGGAAAGATGTATGGCTTCCCGGATCCCCGATTCGTTATCCAGGCTGTCATCCCGCTTTTTCGATACTTGGCCATCGGTGGAAGCAATTCGTTATTATCGCGCATTGTGGCCGCAAAGCCATTCAGCAAAGAACGCGCCCCTCATTCAATAGAGTACTTGAGTTAACGAGCGACATATGTTTCGAAAAATATCCAGCTATAAATTTGACAGACACATTTCGCTTATTACTTTATTAGCCACAATCAAACTCAATTACCGATGAGGTCTAAGATAATATTTTCTTTGATTTGCATAGCTAAATTAATGAAAATATTGAAAATAATATGATAATCAATATTTACTATTATAACGTGAAATATAGATGAGTGGATCATGCTACTTGTGTGCGATTGGGGGTGGTAACTGTATTTTTATGCAGGTGCCGGGTGTGGAAGCAGAGAGGTCTCTCACCTTTGGCGACACGCCGCAATATAATGTCCTTATGCTCCTGGGAGTGCGGTTCGCCGATGACAACGAGCAGATAGCAGCCGGTGAGCGGACTCGGGGGCGGCGGTCCGCCGTCCGAGACGCCGTTTACAGCCTCCATGCGATATTTTCGACCCTGTGTTTATCACCGATACAATATTAAACTACAAAATCAATGTTTAATCGCGAGCCTATTTCTACTCCAATAGATTATAAATGATTTGTAAAAATAAGAAATAAAATGCAAAAAACACCGGCCGGCACAACTAATCCAGTGTCCCTCGTCTGAACAAAGCCAATTTGTGTCTTTTTACGGGAAATAAATAGGTGTGTGAGTAATTTTTTTTAGAAGAATATTTAGTTGACTAGTGTGTTCGCGCCGATGAGTCCGGAACGCACCGGAGGATCGACGACTCGCGAATGCCGGCCGCGCACCGCTATGCAGCAACTCGGCCGCCTCCCCCACTTCTTCCGCGGCGGCTCGCACTACACCCTCATACGCTTCGAGGACGGCGTCGCGGCGCACACAGCTGATTCGTACACGAACGCGCAACACCCAAAGAGGGGGCATGCCGCGGGGAGAGGAAGGTGGGAAAGACCCCGGCGCCCTGGACAACGATCGCCAATTTCCTTCGACCAATTTTACCGCCGCTAGCTACCTACAAATGCTGCAGGCGGCGAAAAACACGAGTGGCGACCCACGCAACGAAAAATTATTCTTATCGGGATGGCGGTGGTTATTCGTGTCCGTAACCGGCGCAAATTTTCATCGGAGGAAAAACCGCTGCTCTCTCGTGTTATTGCATTCCAAGTGTGTCATTAATTTCCACCTACTACGCAAGATTACGCCGTACGTGCGCCTGTCCCCTGTGTTTGTTCTAATCAGACCGAAAATAGATTATGCCGAAATTGCAGTTTGAATGCCGGCCTTCTCTTCCGCGTGTGCGAATGCCATTGAAATATCGAGCCGCTCTGCAGTTCCGCACGCGTGCGCCATGTTTGCGCCTCAATTGAAATAAAAACTAAAACGCGAACGTATCAATAACGTGCTATTCTTCTTTCACTGCATGCCTAGGGAAAGAAAAGAAAAGCATCGAGCAAATTACATGCTAATTTGGGAAGAGATTGTGCATGTACGATTTTATTACCGTCTCATCATTTGCGGCTCGTTAATTGCCAATTAAAGGCGACCCTTGGCAATCGCCAAGCATGCCTTAATCATTCGACCATCAAACTCTACCCACGTATTTTAAATTTTAATTAGAATAATAAACTTTGACGAGCCTCTTTAGTTTTACCCACATTACACATTATTATGATTTATTAATTCATAGCAAAATTAATAGAAAGGAGAAAGGTTCGTAATGTATAATAATTATTATTTTAAATAATAATACTTACTCGTATTTAATTATATATAGTTTTGTGTATATTGGGTTGCCTATAGTCGACGTAGAATAATATTGAGCTGGTGCAAGTTTGTGTAGCCTACTGCACTTGCTGCTCTCCTGATCGAAATGGGGAAGATGGTGCGCGAGTGCCGCATTCTCGCCGCCTCGAGTTCTTCACGCAGCCTCCGCATCTTCCGAAAAGTTGCTGCGACGCCTCTCGCGAACGCCCCATGGACAGGCGGACGCCGGCACCGTCGTCTCGCGATGTCGCTCTATGTATGCATGCGCATTGGAGGCAAACAAAAAAACCAGCGACGAATCGAACGACGCTCGACTGGTCACCAGCGGCAGCGGTCTGTCCGCCGCCCATGGAGATGCCTTGCATAAACACCTGTCAGCCGTCTATCATTCGTGGCACTGCGACGTCACAATCCCGCATTTTGTACCAGGCGAGCAGAGAGTAGTGAAGGCGAACGCGTGAACAAAGTTTGAATTCGTGCGAGCGGTACTCCCACTACGATCAAGCACTGTGTGTAGAGCGTAGGCAAGGCGAGGTTCCAACTCACGTCCTGATACCAACTCAATGGCTGACGGTGAAAAAAAGTAAAAAGCAATACCGAGTAGGCCGGAATCTCAAAATGAAAACGTAATATTTTTTTTATTTTCAATACTCACAGTGATTAGGAGACCAAAACCTTTGGGAGATGGTTTTTTAAACAAAATTTTAAACAAAAAACAAATGAATTTTGATTTTGTGAAGGAGGCAGCTACAATAATAACGAAAGTTCATTTAATGTAAAGATAGAAATAGAAATATTACTTGTTTCTTTGTCGTGAACAAGAAGACGAATACCGGAGTTTCTTGCGAAGCAAAAACCGATCCATCCCCATATATGATGCAACATTTATGGTTACACATGGTTGCTGAAATGCGAGCACAGCGAACAGGAACACAGCAATGTAGTAAGCGTTAGCGCGCTGTAAACGCTGTAAGGTTCGTGTCTCTCGAGACGTCGTCGAGTTAAACTTATTCAAGGCTAAGAAACCGCGCGCGTATCGATTTTATATTAATGTTTTCAAAATATAACTAAATAAATAAACTGAGAGATTATCTAAGAAATAAACTGCATGAATATATTAATTAACAACACGCAATCATTTTTTTACTTCGTATTGTTTTATTTGTGTATTGTTTAATAATATTTATTTATTTAATTGCACGTATTTAATTTATTATTTAATTTAGAGAATATATTATAATAAAATGTGTTTGCACATGAAACAGCGCGATTTTCTAGCTTTTTCCACAAAATTTTTATATAAGGTAGCAGGATAACAGGAAATAAAGACAGAGTAGTATCAGCAGACAGAAAAGACGTTGAATTTGTCACGGTGTGGATAAAACTGCACAAAAGTTCATCGCTTCTTTTATAAAATACAGAAAACACAATAAAATTAACTAAAAGCCTCGAAGGTGATTGAAATGCAGTGTTTCTCTTTTAATTGCATGTGAAGAATTAATATAAGCATCATAAATAAGTATCATAAATGAATGTTTCAATAAATTAATCAATTTTACTCATTGCATGCTGTTTACTTTTGTAAAAGAAACAATTATTTCACCGAAAAACTGAATTTTTGAAACTTCTACTTTTCTTTCTTTGTTATTTCAAAAATTAAACATGAAATATAGTAACCCGAACTGGTTTTGGCACTTGGGCACACAGTTCACACATGCACCTCCGCTCCCTCATGCGACCCTAATCGTTTGAGACATTCATTTGCATATAGGGATTTGAAACGTCCTCATATGTGGTGGCACGCACGAAGCCGCTCGCACGCAGATGTAGGAACAAAACAAAAAATCAGTCTGCCTACTGTGGGTGGAGCCGGTTGGTTTCGAGCACTTGTCGGACACACATGGGAAATCAGGGGAACTGTTTACACGTCTTTGAAAGTCCCCCAAGTGACGGGACAACAGAACCCGCGAGAATGCTGCCTTCGGGAGAGAAAGAAACAAACTGTGCGTGGATTGTGACTAAAAAGGTGCATTTCATCTTCTTGGGCGTAGAAATTGACTACTAACTACTAAGAAGAAGAAAGGCTCGAGGAAATGTTTTAGAAATAAACAAATAGACTTAATTAAGAAGTAGTAGAAGATGTCCAAGATTCAAAATGGTTGGTTATAGATTTTCTCGTGTTGATTGTGTAGGGCGTGAAATTTGAAAGGCGATTTCAACGAACAGGTACAATAACGTAGCGGCTTCGGCGCTTGCAACTACCAGGAATCTAGGATAAGATCAGTGAATGAATGCAATGTAGAACTGGATGTTATGTTACACGTCACTCACACAAACACATATTTCCAAATGGGTGTTGCTAGGAGCGTGCTGCAGTAAGCGACGAAAACTCTTGTTCTCTGTTCTCGCCTACCGCAGAAGTAGGCGTGGGGGGTTCTCTCCCGAAATCCGTCGTCCAACGACCCGGCTGCATGCTTGCGCTCCTGAACTTGATGTGTTCCTGCTACGGAAAAGTCCACAAAGGCGGTCCTGGGGGTTGGCTGTTCCCGCTGGCCCTACCCAAAACGCACACCCTTATAATCCGCGAGCACCGCTGCGCTATCGTGAATTATGGGTCCTCCAGGCGAATCCACTGAAACAAGCATCAGGATTGGCAACATTACCCTTTTCGTTTCATTGATTTTACCATATCGCCATAATGTATTTCATTCGAAACATGAGCCCAATTTTAACTGGGTGGGTGTTATGTTTTATCAACGGTCGTGTTCGCTTTAAATTCCTGTAAAATAATGTTAATCGTATCGAGTATCAACATATAAAATCAAATTATAGCTGCAAAACATGTTTATGCAGTGTAATCAGTGATCGATTCGCAATTCGAACGTTTCGCTTCGTAATAAAAACAATAATAGACGTAATTGCTTGGCGAGGCAGAAATGCGCAACGTAATCAAAATTTCCTTTTATATTAAATAACAGAGAATATAAGAGCTCGTAAAAATTGTTGTTACGTAAGTGAAAATTTGTATAAAAATGTTCTGGGTGATAAAATAATTCGAAAAAACATCGAGAATTTTCGGTTACAGATATCTTTTAAAGTAAAAGCGCTAGACACCAACGGATTAAAGAATATAAAAGTTTAGAAAATTCTTTATGAAATAAGATAAGAAAATAATTAAAATTCTGGGCGTAAAGATTCAGAAATCGTGTTTAAAAGCACCAAAAAGAGCGCATTATCATTTTTTCAAAATTTTTTTCGATTTTCTTGAATATCTCGTAAATTAAAAACGATATAGAGGCACAGATTGAAAATTCTTAATCTACGGAAAATTCTCCACAAGATAAGATATTATATTTAAATCATGAAATTTCAGAATTTCAAAGTTCTTAAATAATTAATAACCAAAAAATAGGCGAAATTTATCAATAGAGATTTTCGATTGCGATTATCTCATAAACTAAAATTGACAGAGATCAACAAATTAAAGATTCTGATTGTTTATATATCTAAGCACTCAATTAAGGTGCTACACTACTTATGTGTTTTCTGATAGTGAGAGCGCTCGAAATTTATAAAAATAAACACGAAAACACGAAATGCAAAAGTGAATCAGTGCGAATCGGCGTTGCGGTTTGTTAATCATCATGCATGCCAACCGAACCTATTTCCTATCAAACTGAATTTCTATTTAGTTAGTTTTTAATTTACAAATTAATAATCCGTAACCCCATAAACGAATTATTTGCAATTTGGAGCGCAAGCTTCACAACTCCACGTGCTGCACAAATCGAATTAAAAAGCCAATTAAAGCCAATGCGAGTTGCAACACGCGTCCCACACTAATAACATTATCAGACGTAACTAACGATTGAAAAACACACTGTTGAACATAGTTTCCAATGTTTCCATAGTAATATGACTCATAACATTGTACAGCGCACAAGCGGAATGTGTTTCGATTGCATAGCAGTACCAGTACTCGCAGTAGATACCTACAAGTATTGCTTGATGTGCGGAGACTTACCTGTACCTGCAGTAACCGTTCAGCATAATAATCTGTGTACGGTGTGTGCGCTTGTAAATGTAGTTGTAAGTACGTAGAGCGAGTACCATGCACGTGATGCGAGACGTAGTAATTCCCCCGCCTGACAACTCAGCGAACAACTTTGGCGTTCGCCGTAGTGTCCGATGGCTGTGTTTTCAGTTCAAACTATGCTGTGGCAATAGCTGCACGCGGTGCCCGCACTTTTCTTTCGCTCGCGTCTTGCTTGTGTGTATGAGTATTCAGTGCGTTACAAGTGCAAACTGGATAATTACCAACTGCAAAATTAAAAATAATTAAATTGTGGTAAGTTGATATAAACACAATTATCGGTGACTAGACAATAATGAAAAAATTGTGCAAATGGAAGCACTTCCTAAAATTATGCAATAAGAAGTTATTTTGTTGTTTTTTTGTTGAGTAAACAAAACACGCGTGCGCACATGGCGGAAGTTTTTGAACCGATTTAAAACCAGTTTTTGTCAAACTCAAAAAACTAGCGCATTGCATAATGAATTTTAGCTGTTGTATAAAAAAAAATTACTTTGTGATAAAGCGCTTTGAAGCGTGAAGCAATAAATAACAATATTCAGGGTTTTGTAATGTCCAAGGTGCGGTGCGGTTAATGTCCGAAGTTTTTCTCTTGAAACAATTATCGAATTCGAGAATCAATGATGTGAAGGTGACGCAAAAATGGAAAGCAAAAACACTTCGGCAAGGTCAAGAGAAAATGGCGTGCAATATCAAAATCTTTATTGTGAAAAGATTTGTCATTAGCATGATAAGCACGCAGTGTAGAATAGAATTTGTTTTCACGTCGTTACCGCAACGAAATGGAAAATAATTCACGCGAACGCAAAGGGAAAGTGTGGTCAAGAAGAGTTTTGCACAATCTCCGTTTACCAAACAACAACGCGCAACGTTGTTGGTAGCTGTAGTTAAGTTAAGACTCTAGATTGTTGCTCATTCATTCTATTTGTGGCTTGTTTTGTTGGACGGTGATTACGCGCTGCTCGAGTTGTGCTCGTACCTTCTTCGCAATCATCTGAATCATGATCGCCATCATGAAACCCGAGGCTTCAAATGTTATTTGATGGCATTTTGTGAGGCCAGTGGCCTCGTGCCACGACTTTATCCTTTGTGCACGCGATCGTTCTTCAGATTTATTTCTATTTGTTATAATGACCATGTTGGAAAGGCCACAAAATATATTTTTATTCAAAATAGAAAAAAATGAATAAAAATACAACAAGATAATTGTAAATTTATTAATTTATCATTTTTATCACGCCGCTTATTTGGATGAATTTAAAGCGAATTGATAACGGTGCGCACGTAATGTGCGGGTATTGTTCGCTTCATGCTTCGCATACATTGCAAAACAATATCTACGTACCTAGGCACATGAAATCCACTTTGATAAAAACAAGATATTTTTTATTTTGCAATCAAGTCACGTTTATTTCTATTAATCACGAATTATTTCGATAGTTTTGGCGTCATTACAATAGCATTGGAATGATTTCAACACAATGCACACGCGTTCCACGAAGACCTCTCGACATTTACATACACATTCCAAGAGTATTACAAGTACACTGTTTCCATTCTGTGAAGTTGAAGTGCAAGCCGCACAGGCAAGAGCATCACAATTAAAATTCTCGCCGCGTTTTGACTCCTGGACGACTCACAATCAACACAAACGCAAAACGTGCATGTCACACATTTGCATGACGAATTGTTTTCTTTGTACAGCTTATGAAATTCCATCACGTTGGTAGCTTTTGTCTTGGTTTGCAGAATAAAAAATTAAAAAAATTAAAAAACTGAAAGTTGCAATTCATAATTGTTTTAAACATGAATTCATATTTGCAAATGACGCATGCGGGCATGAACAATACCTTTATCGTTATCGCATAGTTTTATTTCACATTATGTAATTGTGTATTTTATGATATTACAATAAAGCAGGTGATAAATTTATATATCGGACGGTTTTGATGAAAATAATCAAAAATATTCATATTTAAACTGATGTAATAAACTGGTTTATACCTACATACTTCTCACATTGCTTGATTATACCGAGAAAATCTATTCGATGATGATAAAATTTATGCTATGGCCGGTTGCTACAGGTATAAAACCCGTTTAATGTTATTCACGATCGTGATCGGCCGCGCGGTGCAAATACAAATTCCTCTACACACTGAAATGAAATTATTGAACAATCGCATTCAAACTATGAAATAATTATGCAGGTAATACTTGGAAATGTTATCAGCTCAACATAATACACACTAATAGAATTATTCGCGCCTGAATAATAAGTTTTATTAAACGAGTATTTCTGATCGTTTTCCAATGTGTAGTTAATAATTCAATACTCTAAATGATTTATTTTGACCTTACGGTGTTTTTTACGTCGAGTGTTCTGGAATATATTAATAATATTCATGCATTTGGAAGTGTGTCGATATTTGGCTTGGAATATATGACATTATGAGTCATTTGGATAAGTTAACATGGTTAACTGAAGTTGGTGGTTATTTTGTTTTTAGCAGTGTTTTTCAAGAGATGCATTAATTGTTGTTGTGATGTAGTTAATGGCGAATGGCGGAGTGGTTTTTATTGTGCATAACAGATTGAAAGTGGGACAGTTGAATCGGTAGTTTCAAGTCGTACTTGTTTGCCATATTTGATGAGTTGATTTGCTTGATGTCATTTTGTCCACTTCTAGAGTAGCTTTAGGTTTAACATATGATGCTGAATTGGCAAAAATTGTTATATTTATCTTGAAAATTTAACAGATGGAGTCTAAGTTGTCGAATTTTTGTAGTGGGTGAAAAACACGCGTTGGAAATTTTGCTATATTTCAGTAATTATTTTAGTCATTCACAATTTTTTTCATACTTAGATTAGGAAAGAGTTTCTCTTTACAATACGTGTATTCCGTTACCAAAATTTCATACATACAGCCTCAAAAACGTCTCCAAAGTTGAGCAATTTTTGTTCTCGTTCAAAATCACGATTTGAAAATTTCGTTATATTTCCGCAATTATTTCAGTTATTTATAATTTATTTTCATATTTATATTGAGTAAGAGTTTCTCTTTGCAATACGTCAGTTCCACCACCAAAATTACACCCAAACAGCCTCAAAAACCGCGCCAAAGTTGCGCAATTTTTGTTCTGGTCCGAAATCACGCTTTAGAAATTTCACTATATTTCCGTAATTATTGCAGATATTTATAATTTCTTTTTATATTTAGATTATACAAGAGTTTTCTATAAGATTGTCGACAACCATCTTTAATATTCCGCTCTTTGCGCCCCCAAATTGCCGCTAAAATTTCACAAATTTCTGTTTTTCTTTATTATCTATTTATCTGTTCTGCAATAAATGAATTTTAATTGCTTCAAGAAACGTCGTTTTATACAGTGTGGGATCGGTGAGTGAGTGCAAATGTTATAATTGATGAGTGAGTAAAAGACACGATGTTTAATTATCACGAACAATGTTTATTAAGAAGTATGAAGAGAAGTGAAGTTAGTAGAACTGTAGAGTTTGAAGTGTGTGGAATAACTGTCTTTCCTAAACCCTTGTCACCCACCAGCAACCCTTCAGGTTGATGGGTGGTGACAAGAAATTTGGAAGTAGGAAGAAAGTAATAGATTGGATTGGTAGAAGAAAGTGTATGACATTGAAGAGAGGGAAAGCTGACCATTGGATTCTGGGAATCCGAGTCGTGCCAAACCGTCCGACTCGGGGATTAGGTTTTTCAAGGTAATAAAAGATATTAGGAAATTTGGGAATTTTGGATGAAGAATTACGGTATACAATAAAGATGAAGAAAGTTATAAAGTTTTGAAATACAGAAATAAGCTTTGGGTAAAGATCCCCACAGTACCCCCCTACCAGTGATAAAGTTACCGGAAAGGCCGGAAGAAGCTCTTCGGAGTTGGTATTGCATGCAGCAGAGGTGATGCGCGTCGCATTGAGATGAAATCTTGAGAACCACGCCTGGAAACAGTCGGTGAGTCGTGCCTGCTTCCCAGCTCTCGTCGTTCGAGAGTTGTTGGCGAGAGGTTGCAGCAGTGGTGTGCGCGTCGCATTGAGATGAAATCTTGAGAACCACGCCTGGAAACAGTCGGTGAGTCGTGCCTGTCTCCCAGATCTCGTCGTTCGAGACTTGTTGGCGAGGGGTTGCAACAGTGATGTGCGCGTCGCACTGAGATGAAATCTTGGGAACCCAGTCCGGAAACAGTCGGTGAGTCGTACCTGTCTCCCAGCTCTCGTCGTTCGAGAGTTGTTGGTAGAGCATGCAGCAGAGCTGATGTGCGCGTTGCACTGAGATGAAATCCTGCGAACCCAGCGTGGAAACAGTCGGTGAGTCGTACCTGCCTCCTAAGTCTTGTCGTTTGAGAGAGAGTTGCTTAAAGAGACTTGCGGATTCTCCGGGATTGGTTGTAGTTGCTGCTGCTGGATCTCTGGTTGAACTGGGATCTCTGTCGGGTTGGTCGAAGTTGTGAGCACCATGCTTTTTAGAGTACAGTTCTGGAAAACGTCTCTAGGGTAGGTACATTCGTGGCAAACGTGCCACGGCTATGGTGTTTGTTTTCTTCTTAACCCTGGCGGTTTTTCTTCTGTTGTGCCTGTGTAGACATACCACTTGTGGCATGTTGTTACACTTTAACGGCAGGAAGGATGTTGTACGGTCGAAGGACCTGGTGATGTGATGCGATGCAATACCTGGCTGTGATGATGGTACTCCAGAGTGTGGTTGAGAAGGCGGTGGGTTATTAGAGTTAGACCTACCCTTGTGGGTGAGAATGAAGTGGTATAGAATGCGGAGGAAAAGTATGTGACGGGAGTTTAAGATGCGGCGGCATGTGCGGTGGTGGACCACCATGTGGACACATGCCTGGCAGTGGAAAACAACTGCATACTAGGCATACCAGGATGAGGCGGCACCTGGTGCGGCGATGTTGGACGTCCTGGGTGATAACTCGGAACGTGCGGTTGATGCATCGTAGGTGCAGAAGTATGGAATGATGCCTTCTGCGGTGGAAGTTGTAGCTGAAGAGGCATCGAAGATTGAGTCCTTGGTAGCGGTTGATGTTGCGTTCGTCGTAGACATTGTTGTGTTGCACTCAGATATTGACTCACCAGATACCCACAAAATAAAAACTAACGTGTGTTTAATGTTCGCAAATATCACGTCGGGGTCACCAATTTGTGGGATCGGTGAGTGAGTGCAAATGTTATAATTGATGAGTGAGTAAAAGACACGATGTTTAATTATCACGAACAATGTTTATTAAGAAGTATGAAGAGAAGTGAAGTTAGTAGAACTGTAGAGTTTGAAGTGTGTGGAATAACTGTCTTTCCTAAACCCTTGTCACCCACCAGCAACCCTTCAGGTTGATGGGTGGTGACAAGAAATTTGGAAGTAGGAAGAAAGTAATAGATTGGATTGGTAGAAGAAAGTGTATGACATTGAAGAGAGGGAAAGCTGACCATTGGATTCTGGGAATCCGAGTCGTGCCAAACCGTCCGACTCGGGGATTAGGTTTTTCAAGGTAATAAAAGATATTAGGAAATTTGGGAATTTTGGATGAAGAATTACGGTATACAATAAAGATGAAGAAAGTTATAAAGTTTTGAAATACAGAAATAAGCTTTGGGTAAAGATCCCCACATACAGCTTTCCATTTTATTTTCCTCTTACTTAAGATAAAAACATACACATAATGAAAATAATAATATTGTAATTTATGTACAACACGTTCGGACTCACGGAAAGCAAAAATTAAGTCCGTGCTACATTTTCCCCACATCCACATCCGTGTTTCTCCTCGAATATTAATGTCGCTGCTGTCTGAACGAATCATCGCAAGCATTCAAGCGTTTAGTTTGTTATTAGGAGCATCAAAAGCATTAAAATTTGCGTAGGCACATACACAATATTCAAATATTTCCGTTATTTCCATCATATTTGATCATCGTCATAGATATCGTGTGTTTTTGTCAACTTTCCAATACGGAAATGAACTTATTTACGAACGGAATAATATTCAGGTACTTATTCATACTTATTCCTTTTTCAATGACACGGTTTTGATATGTTGTTGACAGAATGCGTTATCGCATTTTATCTTATCATGCAGTAGGTACCGTCGGGGAATATTACACCCAGTCGGCATGAATATTCTACCTGTAAGGTAAACACGAACTTCAATTTATCTATGTCACATCTGTGAGCGAACAGATGATCACAATGTACTCACGTATCATAATAACAATCGGAACATAGCAATACAATCGCATTCCATTTCCATGATACATAAATTTTGATTTTGTTGATGACTCATTTACTTTTTGTGTTTAACCGGCCTTAAACTTTTAAAATTCATTCCCTGATAAATACAGTTAGTAATCAGAGTAGCCTTAAACATGCAGTGAATAACATGCATCAAGTTCAAAATCGATAGTCTAATTTATTGCTAACATTAAGGTCACGCTAAATTCGTTGATTGACTGACATTGAGGCGGTTTAAATTTTAACTGTGATCTATAACATGTAGCGGAAAATAACACAAAGTTTTGTATTGAATAAATGTGTGAATGATTTTGTTATTTTGTTATGAAAGTTTAAATTTGCACGTCTGGTTGAAGGCAACCAGATGAAATCAACGGATGTTGATATTTTTAGATGAAAATGAAACTAATGGAAAGTGAAAATAGCAAGTTGCTAAATGTCTCTTGCTAATTGAACTGAACTAGCGATTTGAAAGTTTCAACTAAATCAATATATGCATAAACACTTAGAAATAAAGTAACCTTTAGCAACGCGCATAACATGCAGATTATTAATAATACAGCTGTTGAAATGCTTTCATGAATCAACATATTTCAATATAAATAAAAGTTGAAGATGCCTAACGAACGTGAATGCAAGCAAATGAGCAAAAAAGGCGCACGAAACACTCAACGTGCTTTTCGTTCATGTTGGTTAACCTTGAAAGAAAGAAATTGCAAATGCAATTAAAATTAATACGGCGTTGCGCAACCTTTGAAACTCTACGTACTGTAAACATAAAAATAAAAATAAGTTCAACTAGAAAATAGAAAATACGCAATCAGTTTTATTACCTACGCCGCGTGTTGTAAAATTTGTAATATTTCATGATACTCCTCGTAAAATATAAAAAAGATGTTTGCGACAGGTTTGCGCAATGTAAACAACTATATACTTGAAGTGACTACTTGCTGCAGACAAAGGTTAGCGCAAATAACAAAACAATAATATGTAATGAATAAAAATCAAGCAATCGTGATGTGAATGCAAACTGCACGATTGTCTTTGAATACGGAATATGAAATGAGATAAGAACCTTCTAAATAATAAAGAATGAATGTACAAACATAACAATTGAGTGTTGTTTGTTCTTTATTTTTATATTTTTATATTTTATGTGCGTTCGAATGTCTCTTACGCATATAAATTATTATACAGTGCGTTTTGTTCTTCTTCATATTAATTTTTTTAAACAATTGGATAATTGTTGGCTTTTTCTACAACATTTCGATTTCTTTTTATTCAGTTGACTGCACGCATTCTTTAGTTTTATATCTAAATAGCAATTGCGGCTATAAAACAATTAAAAAAGTAAAATTTGATTTCATGTGCAAAAAAATGACACAATTAGAAACTCAGACATTTGATTTATTTAACCCTTATTTTGTAGGTCAAGTAATTAAACAACTAATTAGAATTTTATATTTGTTTAATACCTAAACCATTAGAATCGTCCTCGTACAATTTACTATATATATAAATATTGTAATTAAACACGTATTAAATAAAAAGTTATTCTCGTGTCAGCTGCTAATGATAATTAGAGAATTATCAGGCCGGAAAGGATACGTTCTTTCTAATAATTCATGTCCACTAACTTTTATTTTTTGCGCTGGTTTCGTTCGTGGTGATAGCAGAATATTCTCGCCGTCAGTTGTCGCGTTGCATTCAACTTCAACGAGTCTTGCATTCATCGTTGATACGTTGATGATTATTTAATGGCATTACGAGCGCACGGCAAAGTGGAGCGAAGCACTTCATCGCTTGTCTGTCATTTGCTCGAACCGCACTTCATGCAAGAGTAGATAAAATACACTTGTAGCTGGATTGAACAATAAGGAAGTGATATTATCAATTATTATAATTGTTAGTGATTTACATAAGTCTTATTGCATTTATTCCTGGTTGTGGTTATATAAAAATTACTTTCTTGTGGTTTATTGTGGTTTATTTTTATTATATTATTTTTTTTGTGTGTTTGCAGATATAAAGCTTATAATCGTAGTATTATAATGCAATCATCACAGACGTGTCAGCTTATCAAAACGTTCAGTTAATCCACTTAGGATGTGATTATGGTCTTTAAAGAACGAAATTTATTGGGTAAGTTGTGTTTTTATATATTTTAAACAATTTTTTGCACTTTGGGGGCTTTTGGGGGGTTTTGAAGCAGATTGCGTGGTCAGAAGCGGAAAATATGTATCGTAAAGATAAGCTTTTAAGCTATCTATATATGATAAAAACAGATAGATAACACAAATAATTAGTGAAATATAACCCAATTTCTATCATGCGTTTTTGATGAAACGCAAAAGTTGGTTAATTTTGGCGGCGTTTTTGAGGCTGTTTTCAATTAATTTCAAAGCGTAAAAATACGCATCTTAAAGAGAATCTCTTACACTTTCGAAATATGAAAAGAGCATAAAAATATTTAAAACAGTTTACGAGATATAATTGAATTTTCATTACGTTTTTTGATAATCTATCAAATTCGGCTTTTTCCAGCTTTATTTTTATAATTTTTAATATAAATTATTAATATAAATTCAGAATATTGATGTGTAGGTACAATTGATATAAATTTTCATTGCTTTTGTGTAGGCACACATTTACAATGTCATTGTCCGAAAAAATTTCCTTGCGCTCAGAGGCGTATCCGTCATGCATCGAATTACGGTATTATTAATTATCAGCACACTCGCTGCTAAATATAAACGTGTCTGAGGCTTGATGTAAATTTTTGTTTGCATATTCTGTGTATTAAATGAGGCAGCCAGATGCGACACACTCAGAGCGACAAAATGGAAAAATTACACTGCTCTGATTATTATGCTTTGCGGCAGTGTGAAATGTAAAACAGTTATTTCTACGTGCAGTTAATGTGCCGCATAAACTCTCTTCACCAAGGAGGAGGATATATGAGCAACATTGCAGCTGTGCAAATTACGCCCCGTATTCAAACAAACTTGTTCATCAAAACATTTAAATTTGCTTACTTTGCGCAATGTATTTACATCCGCATTTCTCGCGTTATTAATGTGAGGATATTTGTTTTGCAGTTGCACTTCTAGTCGCATTATGCGCAACTGTAAATCATGCCGCGTCCATTTCAACAACGACTGAGGCGAGCACTACCGTAGCAACCACAACAACAACAACACCGACTGAAAGCGATGAAGCGCAAAAGGAAACGAACTTTAATCGCACGGATGGACGCACTGAAAATGCGCGCTCGTTAGATCTCGACATCAACAAGTACACATCCGTCGATTTCCACAATAAGGTATACGATCTACAAACGTCGCCAGAGAATGAGAAATTCATCTCGCAGGAAGTATCTAAGGTGCACACAACGTACCGAACATCGTACACGTCGCAAAACGTAAATGATTACGAAAATTATGAATTGACCACGCCGAAAACGATATTTTTGATGAAAAACATAAACAAGTTCAGAATGATATCAAAATGAAGCTCGAAATTGACCAGAATGTGCAAATCGAAAAACCGTCATCCGATGAAGTCGTGAAACATAACGAAACCAATTTGGATCTCGTACGGTACACAAACATCCTCGGCGATGACGATGTACGTAACAAAACATCAATTCATCGTAATTACGAAACCGAGAAGGGCTTGAAGATAAACTACGAGAGTGTCTATAACGAGTCCGATGCTGTACAGAAAGTGCACAATGCGAAGAGTCCATTATTGAACAACAAGATCGAGAACGACAAGGCCATAAACATTTCGAAGCGCGGTTTTACCAAGCAGCCGCAAACAGGAAATTCCACCACTGATCGCCCGGCCACCGACCTACCGCAAGACAGATCCAATTTGATACCGTCGCTTGAGACTACTACCAACAACCAAGAGCAGGCCCAGCAGGAGAATAATATCTATCCGGTTTTGGTGCCCATACCGCTGACCACAACTGCGTCCGTTTCGACCGAACCCTCCTCGCATACGAAACTCTATGAAATGACTGAGAACGATTTCGCTACGACGACCGAGAGTGCATTCGAGGTGAATGGGTCGGAGGAAAAGTTTTATGAAATGACGGAGACTGCGACGACAACTGCTGCGCCTGAGGTGGAAACCACTACGGAAAATTTAAATAAAACAATTGTAACAACCAGTACAACTCATGAGGATGAATTGATTACAACTACAACTGAACAGCAAGAAGTTTTACAACTGAAAATGCTTTACAAACAACCATTTCTGAAGAAAAAGAAGATTTAGAAAAAACTACAACTTTTGCTCCTACAACTACAATAACAGTAACAACAGAAGCAGAAAACCTAACAACAACTTTACAAGCTGTAGATGATGATGCAACTACACCTACAACTACAACTACAGCTGCAACAACAACTGAATTAGATTTAGTTACATCAACAGTTGAATCCGCATCAAAATCTGTTACAATAAATAATCAAACAACAACCGAACCAGAACTTTCCGCATCAACCTTATTTTCTCTAATTACAACAACTCTTCAACAAATCACAGACACAACAATTGGATATGAATCTACATCAGTAGCAGCGCCGAGTAATGAAATAAAAAAAGCTAATACATCATCAGATCATGAACTAGATGACTTCACAGAAGAAGTCACAGATGATGATTACATGGATGTACGTAAAATAAAACCGGTTCCACAAAATATCCCTAAAAAAGCAGAAGTAGAGGCTGTTAATGAAACACACTCAGTCACGGAAGCACCAGAACGAGTAACTACTACAACAACAGTTGAAACTACAACAAATGAGGATGCTGCGTCTGATGTCCCGGAAGAAGCTTCACGAACGCCCGAACCGGAAGGCGCAAGCAGCGGGACTATTATTGCAATAGTTTTATCCACCGTTGGTGCTATCTGTTTGATATTACTAGCTGTACTTTTGGTTAGTTCTCGTATATTATTGTCTATTGAGGTTTATAATTATAATTTGCTTTGTTTCCGAATAGTTTGTGATGCGCCGGAGGCAGAAACGATTCAATTATGGCCAACGATGCACACCTGTTAGTTTGGACGCTTACAGTATGGACAATGTTTCTGTTTATAACAGTGTGAGAAGAAAGAACGCCATTCGTGGCTCCAAACGCTCCTATGGCAATCCAGCCTTTGATGATGATGTAAGTTGACAATATTCAATATAAATCGATAAATATGTTTATTAAATTTTATTTTGTTTTATTTTTTAGACGAGTATTAGTCATCCGATAAATTTCCAAGCAATTGTGCGTTTTGCCAACCAAGCCGACGAGATCCGTGCGGAATTCGAAGAGATTCCACTCGTCAGCGCCAAGATGCATGAACTGCCCGACGGTTGCGCGAGCAAGAATCGTTACGCGAACGTGATTCCACTGCCCGAGAGTCGTGTGTTCCTCGCGCAGTTGGAGGACGATCCTACCAGTGATTACATCAATGCCAATTATGTTACGGTGAGTCTGTGCAATGTGCTTTAATCTGTGACCGAGTTTGTTGACCAATTACCGCAGGGACCCAAAGGTGCCCGAGGCTATTACATCGCATGCCAGGCGCCATTACACAACACCGTGAATGATTTCTGGCGTATGATTTGGGAACAACAGTCGAAAGTCATCCTAATGTTGACGCATCTCTTTGAGAATGGTGTGGAGAAGTGCGTTGATTATCTGCCACCATCCGAGGTCGTCGATTGTCATCGTCTCTTTGGCGATTTTCAAGTGACATTGAAAAAACGTGAAGTTAAGGACAAGTATATCATATCCAGTTTACAACTGAAAGTAAGTTAATGTTAAATTTTGTTTAATACACGTTGGTAATATTTACGTAACTTTCAGAACATGGTATCTAACAGCTGGCGAGAAGTCACGCACCTTTGGTATTCAGGTTGGCCGGAGAAGGGCGTTCCAGAGGAGGAGAACTCGATCATTGCATTCCTCATTGAAGCGAGAAGTTACATTCGCCTTGTTCAGAACGCCGAGCCAAAGGTAAGTTAACTCCTACAAAGTTTAAACAGAAACTTTAATGCTATATATTTCATTGTAACAGGAAAATGGTATTACGTCTACAACGTCAAATGGTAGAAGTTCACAGCCAGATTCAAGTCCGGTTGTTGTCCATTGCAGTCCGGGCACGGGCCGGACAGGATCCGTAATTGCATGTGATATTGCGATAAGGGAATTCGAGCTGCGGCGTATTGTCGACATTCCCCGAATCGTGTATAGGATTAGGCGTGACAGAGCTAGTTCTGTCCAAACTAAAGACCAATACCATTTTATTTACAAAGTAAGTATTTAATCATCAATTAAAATTAATTTTTTAATATTTTTATTAATTTTAATAGGTAATAAATTTATATGCTACAAAATTGACTGGCGGGGCCCTGGATTCCATATAAAATATTTGTGATATGAACTTGTTAAGATTGCTAAAGAAAATTGAATTAAATTTAGTCTAGTTGTCCAAAAGATAAATTTTGGTGTGATGTCCACGTATTGTAAATATATCTAAACGTTGTTATGTATTATAAAGATGATCATATATTATGTTATGCCTGCTCTCTATCTGTAAAAGAATAAATAAGCGAATTTCTATATCTTAAAAATGTATTTACAGACACATTCTAGGCATATTAGTATACAGATAGGTAATCACAAGAAATTTACGTCCTAATCTACGTCATACGTCATATTTGATAAAAGTATAAATATATGCGTTGCACTAATCTCAATAGTTAAATAATACAATACTGATAATTGATGGATGAAGTTGTCTACGAGTAGAATGTCAGCACTGATTGCTGATTGCCTCTGACCAATAAATATGGCGGCAGATCTTTTGTCAATGTCTCCAACCACGCCATGTATAACCGCGCTGAGACGGTCCCTTTGCGCGGCATCGGTAATGACCTAGAAAAATTTAAAAATGTAAACATAAACACTTGGATATTTTTGGCACACGTTCAACACGTTTGAACACGTGCAACTCACATCACAACTAAATTGGCATCTTTCGACTTCTCAAGAAGCAGCTCGCGCAATCTTAAATGTCTGTAGGTTTTATCCTGCAGTGCTGCCAACTCCAGCTCTGTGACCATACCATCTGTGAGAATATATAAACATTAATTAAGCATATGCTCATCTTGAGTTTTACTGCTTCCGAGTTTCAGTTTAAAACGATTTTATACCTTGCGCTGTGGTTCCTGATGTGGTGAAACCACTCAAAAGATTATCGAAGAATTTAATCGTCGAGTCCTGTGGGCGGTCGGAAATATGCAGCATTTCTAGGCTGTAGTGATTCAATCGGAACTTTTTGAGTAAGTCAGACATGCTAAAAATAAAATTTATACATGAAATGATTTATTTCGATAAAATTTTTGATTTTTTACTTTTCTTTGTCGATTTCAAGTTGATTCTTATCACCAGCGAGTGAGAATACACGTAATTTACAACTTTCCCAATCCTGGCGACAGGAAATGATATAAGGCAGCAACATTGTCAAGCCGCCATCGTCGTAAAGCCACCAGACGTCGATAACGCCTTTACCTTGCTTTTTCTTGAATATCGACAGACTGTCAATGGCATTCGCGGGGATTTCCTTCCCGGAAGGCGTTGTAAAGAGAATTTTATCCACTGCAGTCTTCTTTTTATTCTTTAAAATCCCACTTGGAGCCGTAGGAGGCGCAGACTTTCCAGTTCCAGCTGTACCGTCTGGAAATTCAGTTCAAATTTACGCAACACTCATAAAATTTTGTTTGTTTTGTCTTACTGAGGACGGTAATAGACTGCACTGAGTCCGACACAGATGGGACATTTGAAATATTCAAATTGGAGTCGGCGTGCACCATGCGCGTAATAGCGAATGGATTCGAATGCAAATCGGGACGAGATGGTGTCTGTGTTAGTGAAATATCAGTGCTGATTGCATTGTCTTCTTCATTGTCTAGGATTCTACTAAAGTCGAGTCCTTCCGGTGTGCGTAGAATAGCCACAGAGAGACGATTATCAAAAGCAGAACTGTTTACAACATAAATCATTAGTACATATATTTATTACAGCCATATATCATGGTATTGTTTGTTTTCTTACTGGAGTACTTCAAAGTAAGCGGTGAGTTCATTTGTCGAGCACACGCGCCAATTGCTTTTGAAGCCCATCATCAGCACGTTGGGCGTGAGTTTTCCAATACCGGATGTTTGCATTAATGTTTTCGCGCCCAGCTCGAAACTGATGTCGTCGACGAGCGAATAGAATGCCTTTACTTTGTTTTCTCGGAACCATTGATAAGCAGCGCGACGTTTGATCGAACGCTGACGATGCGACATTTTCTTTTGCAGTACTTCCCCGATGACAAGCAGCGCATTGTTTTTCGTTATTAAATTGGCAAAGTCCAACAGCGGTGGGCGATGCTGCGGTGAACCGCAAAGCAGTAAAATTTGTGGCTCGTAGTTTTTCACATGTTGGTTGATGCTGTTCAATTTATGACATGTTGCCAAGGCACTTTTATACGTTTGCGCTTGTGTCGAAGATCCCCAATTCACGTCTGTTAATGACATTGAAATGACTGTAATTTTCGCCGGGAATGTCGAGTTGTAATTTTACCTGGTTTCCGGTAAACGACAATGAGGTAGAGCGCCAAAATGACGATGAATGTAATCAGCGAGGATTGCCAATTGATCAGGAACATGATGACAACGCACATGAAAAACCCGCAGAGGCTTAACCATGTGTTGTAATACTATAAAACAGTTTTTTAATTTTTTCTTGGAAATCGATTTTTAAAGTCCATTTACCTTAAACGTGGGTCTCCATCCTAATGGTTTAATTAACGCCGCGTGGAACGTGCAGAAATTAATAAGAGCATACGAAGCCAAATAGAAGTTAGAGATCAATGGAGCAATGGCGTTGAGATCAGCTGCAGAGAAAAAAGCAAAACAATATTGACAGACTGTTATAAATACAGCCGAATTGATGGAAAATATCGGAAAATTCGATGTGTCAACATCTCCAGAGATATGTGAGAACGTTACTCATAACATTCATAATTTCAAGATGTGCCAAAAATAGTCGACGCCGAATTGTTTACATCATCGGCGAGTTGTTTTGGCGCCGAACACTTACCGATGAGTACAAAGGCGGACGAGATGAAAAACGTAAGCACGTAGCCTCGATAAGGCTCGCCCGACTTTCCATAACCCTTCGAGAAGAAAATCAGTCCTGGATAGATTCTATCAATACCGAGCGCTTGTAACAGCCTCGGCACTGATAGTAAATTGGTGAGTGCTGTACTGAGCGTAGCGGCAAAACATCCAGCGTAGATAAATGGTCCCCAGGCGGACATCAACTGCATCACCGAGTAGCTATTAAACAGACCATATTTGCAGGAAAAGTCGCTGGTGCAGTTGGTCAACGTTCCGTTGATCAAATCAGTAACATTTCCGCTTGCATCCCTCATGGCTGCACCACCGGCGAAAACAACAAACAGGGCGTACGAGAACATCGATATCGCCAAGGCCAGCATTGTGCCCTTCGGAATGGACGACGCCGGGTCCTGGAATTCGAAATCGACTCATTTGATTACCTTCGTATTAACACTATTATCGGGGTTTCGCAATACGTAGAAAAATATACGTCGTTCACACCTTTAAGTCTCCTGATATATTAGCACCTGCTTGGATGCCTGTCACCGAGGGGAAAAAGATCGCGAATACTTGGAAGAAATTATAATCGATGTCGTTTTGTGTGCGGTAATCAGGTGCCCAGTTATTCGAGAATGTTTCATCTGAAATTTAATCATTATTAAGTCTATTATTCATCCAAATATTTTTATTGACTTACAACTGAAGCCTGAAAATCCTTGCGCGTTTACCTCGTCACTCCCTGGACCCATCGCAGTCCCCACAAGAAAATCAACAATAGCTCCGACGATGATCGCAATAAGAAAATTCTGCGCCTTGCTTTCCCATTCCATTCCAACGGCGCAAATAATAATCATGATAAGCAGCGCAACGCAGCCAACAATACGCACGTCATTGACGCCGTTATCGATGATTTTCAAGCCTTGGCTTTTCAGCAGGTCGTTTAGCGAGTCGCAAAAACCGATTGTGTTCATTGACGCCGCCACGGCGTTGGCGAATGCAAACACGACGCCGACGGACGCGCCGAATTCGGGGCCCAGTGACCGCGAAATAATGTAGTAAATGCCACCTAGAACCATCGCAAAGAAATCCAAATAAGCAACGCGCGTCTTTTTTTAAAACATATTTATTTGTGGAAGATGGCAAGACGTAGATTTATGATATGAAACAGATTGCGCTATTTATTACCTCCTTTTACTTCGCCGTTTGTACTAATCGCCGAAAGAGAAAGTGTCGTAATGACGCAGACCACCGCCGAAATAGCAATGATTACCATCGTCATTCCTGCGAATAATATTCTAAAGTTAATTGCATTCTGTTCTCATACAACGCAGATGAGCAACAAATCAAAGTTGTTGATTTACCGATGCCAGACTGCGCCACCACCCAGGATAATCGAAGAAACAGCATGACACCCCAAATGTTGAGCAAACAAGGGATGAGCACACCTTGTATCCATCCCAGTTTAACACCATGCCCGGCTGGTGATTGTGACTCGGCGACTTCGCCATCCTTGTTCGGATCCTGCACACCAGCCACGCACAAACAAGCACGTGAAATTAATTAATTACTCTCGCTTGGTAGTAATTTCTTTTTATCACACACAATGTATCAATATTTACGGGTGGAATCGATGCACCATTTTTGGATTATCGATAACAATCGCTAATTGAAACAAGCACTCAGCCATCCAATGCCAATTAAGTTCAAGTTCATCAGCGAAGTGTTTACACAAACATTTGCACAGGTATGTGTGTCTTACGTGTGTAGTCCGATAGCCTAAACCTTGAGAGGCATTGAATTCAGTCTAGCAATTAGGTGGGAAACGAGTTTCGGCGAAAAGGCGCACTAATTGTCGACGGCAGTCAAAACGCAACAGTTGTCGCCAAATTACCGAAACATTTATGTATCGCATAGGAAAACATGTTTCAAACTATGTTCGACTCGTTAGAGATTATCACGTATTGTTTAAATATTCCCATAACAATAATATCGATATATATTTTAAGTAAAGTTTTTAAACTAACTACACGTATTGTTCAACGCAACAAAAAATTGTTTTCACGAATTTTAAAACTTAATTACACACGTAAAATTTTTTGCATTATTAGAATTGCTAGTTTTATAATTGGGAATGAAAAAAATGAATGTTTAATTATTTCAAACACATATTTCAAACGTTGCTTTAAATATTAAAGTTTTAGAATTAATCTTGTGATAAAAAAAAAACATAACGGTGGTTTATATAACTAAATCAAGTTTGAAGATTGATTGACTTGAAGAATTTTGCACGCTTACCTTAACAACATCATCTCCGCCATGTAGTTCTCCCAAAGATGGCCTCTTCAGCGCGCGTTTTGATTGCCGATAGTTTTCCAGCCGTGGAAAAGCCTCCCTTGTGAGTTGCACCAAACTTTTCTTCCTCTTCGGCGTGTTATTGTACAAACAAGTTGTCGATGTGTTTTTACCATTTGTACCATTAGCTGCGTTCAAACTACCGTTGGAAAACCTCGTCAACTGCACGGCGGTCTCCTGGGGCTCTACGATTTTTATCGAAAATCTGTGATCCATTTTATTTCACTTTTAATTCTTTTTTAAATTTTTGAAGCACTGGACACTTATGCACTTTATGTTGTTTGACAAGGTAATAATTCGCGTGCGGCAGGTAATTCACTGTACCTATAAACAATACGAACAATATGTGTACTTAACAGCGATATTATCAGTAATATGTGAACGCTGAGCGGCGACACATCGAATAAATAATAATTCCCGTGCGGAGCGCTTAAAAGTGGGGAGTAGCTTTTCAGCAACGAGGCAATGAGACACCGAAATCGGCGAAAAACGCCCGGCGCTGACTCGCTGAATACACGCACTTAAGATTTTTCGAATTTCCCGATTGATATTTTCGTCGTTACCTGCCAAATTTTACAATTTAAAAATTCTCTGAATAAATACTAATATTTTAAGTCACATTATCGAAAAAAAAGACACCTCATGAATTATTTTATATACTCATCAATAAATCCCGCAAAAAGCCTCTAATAGTCAAAATTTACTTAAATCTTACACCTTTATGACTCCTAATTAATTTTATCGCCGGTGAGAATATGTTTGTAGACACTCTGCGGTCTCTACGCGTCGTCGGCGCGCGGAGACAAAGCCCGTCCGCGGATGGTTATGTATTGGCCCGAACTAGATTCAACCAGTGCTGACCGACTCGACCGAAAAACCGCACGAAATTGGCGCAATTTTACCTATATCCTGCACTAACACCAAAGAACTAATTCGCGCATGACACATACGACGCTACGTAACACCGCCGCAGCATTGAACTTCTAATCGGGGGCTGTCGGCGCGCGCTGAAGATGACGGATTAGCGAAATTCAATTGTGATAATGGACAGAGGAGCGGCAGACATGTGTACCTGTTGCGTCGCGTATTATTTTCTCATCAAGTCAGCGATTAGTATCAGGAACCTGAATGTCTACACCGATTTGATAATTACCACCATATTATATACTTGTAGTTGTCAAGCAAATTTATGATTCAAAAACCGACAAAATTCTTACGTAAATAGTCGGGATTTATTTTGATTCTCATAGACAATATTTACCTGAGCTAATATTTGTTTAGTGACACATACAAACAAGTTTATTGGTGCATTTTCTTTAGTAAATATCAAAAATCAATTTTTAACAGAAATATTAATAACTATGAGTTATTTTTCACAAAACCACTAATACCACTAATAACAATGACCTGAATGTCACTAAATGATTGTGCAATAGTACGATTGTTGTCTTGACTTAAATACTCACTTAATTATCACATTTTTGCTTTTGTTTTCGTTAAGTTTCGGTTGAGTTTTTCATAATAATATAAATTATAAGTACATCTTGATGATTTTTCATTAGAACGACAAAGGTCTGGAGTACATTTGAAGGTTGTACATTAATTTCTCGATGCACGTGTAAAATGTGTAGCAGGTAACAACGTTGACAAACATGCAAGCATGTAGGACATAAAAACGCGTGTACCTAATACCGCACATATGACGATTTCAACGTTTCTCGTTCATTTTACTTACTTAAATCTTTTTCCTGCAGCGATTAAAAATATAAATATAAAATGTATAGTGAATTACTACGTGCTCCCAACTTGGATACTTTAATTGAAAAAAAAATGCAAACAGCATTCAAAAGTCTGAAATATGTTTATGTTTTCTAGTACGAAATTTCCAAAAAAAATCCATGGTATTTATCTTATCTATAACCACACATTATTTTACCACTATTTTGCTTTCGTTTTGTACGTGTTTTTATGCTGGTTAATAATAATAAATATATCTAGGTAAGATATCTAATTCATATTGTTTACCATTTCGGTTAGTTGTTCGCTAATTTCACGAGAAAACAATGTAGTTATCTTAATGGTTGCTCGTGCGTTCGATGCATGCACATCGGTTACAGCAATCTTAGTTGATTACAAACCAATGCAAACTGGATCGAACTGAAATCGCACTTCATCATCGCTCCAGCCCCCAATGAAATATACGACTGAAAGGTGCGCGGTGATTTACTCATCTAGGTACACAATACACCGCGGGGACAAGCACTTGTTTGGCTAATAGATTATATCAATTATATACGTGTAAATAAGCGCAATTATAAAAAACGTGTTGTGGATTCAATGTCAAATATTAGAAACGCGCACGCAGAGCGAGTAAAATCTATCTAATCGATAAATAATTGGATCTGATGGGATTAAAATTAAAAGGATGTCAAGCAGTGTGGAATAATGGCAGTGAACTTTTATTTATTTTCGCGAGTGTTTGCAGAGTAACTGTTGATTTCTGACGAGTTATACAATTCGATACGTTTGTTTGTCTAGTTTTCGACACTTTTTATACACCTAGATGAAAAAAAAAAACACAACATATAGTTAATTATTTGCTTCCAGCAATTATTTTATCAACTTCAAATACAGCCGAAACTTTCCACAACAAACGGATTTTACGCTGTCAATAATAAAATGATTGTGGTTAACCAGATATATTATTATTTGCCTGGGAGGCGTCTTTTTTCGATGTTTTGACATGACATTTACTGCAAAAAATCTAAGTCCATGTTTAAGAAGTTTAAGATTGAGTATGGTAGTTTAATAAATTCAGAATTATTACGTCTATATTACGTTTATACGCGGACTTGCCTCAGGCTCCGGCGAAAGACACGGCACAATACTATAAATAGTTTTTTTTGGTTACTTTCAGAAAAGGGTAACATATTGTAAAGCAAATAGGCAACCCAATATACTTTTGAAGTCTTGACGTGTCAGAACATAACCTTATATGTAAAAATATTATTTTTATTTCTAGAGTAATAAAAATAATGATGTAGCAATATTAAGATTGTATTATTTTCGAGTTTATACACAAACAATATTTTTCATTGACAAGTTACAACCTAGTTTTAGTCATTTACTTTTGAACAGCAGGTTTAAAACTGTTTAAAATACAATTTACATACAAGGATGGTGTTTTCACTTCGCCAACCAGGACAAAAAATCAAATTGTAAATCTAACAAATGCAAGAATCACAGTTCAAATGACAAATTTGAATCAAAAATCGAATCTTGACTGGCTGTTGTTAACAAAGCCTAAGACAATACGTCAATTACTATAATAGTACAACATTTACAATATTCTGTACAATCTATTATTTCGTAAACGGTTGACGCAGATAATACAATAACTTCCATGCGGCTTCTTCGTCTTGGAAGCGAAAGATGTCCTTTTTACATTTTGATGCCAGAATTGTACACAAGCACGTGTTAAGTTTCAAAAAGTATGCGCTGTGTTTAAGGTACACAAGAGTAGTAGGTAGGTAAGTATTCGAATGATTAGGAATCTATTAATGATCGATAAAAACGTTATATGCTTGAAGATCAGACAAAGTCGAGTAGTGCTGGTTCGGGTTCCCACGCAATGCGACACAACAAGTTGTACTACACCGCCGTGGGAGCCCGCGGGTGTCAATGCCACTTGGATTTTTGAGCGAATATATCAGCGCGGAGATTTTGAGCGAAGCAGATTCCCAGTATCTGTTATCAAACATGAATCATAATTAATAAATATTTATCAGCACTATTTGCACTGGAAGTGCATTAGATGCATTTTGGAAATATTGGAGAACAGATAAAATTAAAATAAATATAAAAGAAAAAACACTCACTTGAAAAAATAAAACTATAATGGCAAATGTGGTCAATGAAATCATATTTCTCTCCGTCCATTCTTCAACTGCCATCAAGCATCCTTTTTCATTTACTATCTTAGATACATCGTCATTCTGAATCAAAAATTAAAAATAACTAAACAAAGCAGAAGAAAACCAATGTTTGAGTTGCTGTACAAGTTTTGAACATAAATGAACTTATGTTATTTTATATCACAACGCGTTGAAGACTAAAAGAGAAAGAAAACTAAAGAAACATAGAAACCTGCTCCTAGGACTACTAGAAAATCAGTTGTAACTTGCAACCCGCAAAAACTAGTGGGGGTAAACCGCGCAAAAGTACAAATACCTGTGTTTTAATTAAACTTAAAAAAGAAAAAGAAGTCAATAAATAACTAGAATAAATAATAAAGCAAAAACACTTTTCTACATGAACCCTTGCGTTAGTCTTTAGTCTGAAGAGATACCTTAAGCACCATAATGCTGACAGTAACAGCAGCAACCGGCACCAAATTGCTTTCGATCCATTCCTCGCCCGCACGCAAGCAGCCGCGCTCGTAAATATGCCGCTCCCCCGGCTGCATGCACCGAAATGTTATCGCATTAAATATTCGTTACACACATGTGAACAATGCACCCGAGCGCGAATGCAATCGTCATTGAACAAAAAGCATCGGAGTTACCCAATCAATACTTACAAAACCCGGCTTCCGGACGTCATAGCCGCACTGCTTGTTCTTAATCAACTCCTACAATCACAAACAGATATTAAATAATATTAATTAACGGACAAGTTCAACGCACGTGTGGTTTACGCTTGCAACACGAGAAGGGAACTCCGCAGGCCTCGCGACTACCGACATCGTGCGACGAGCAATTGAAATAATTGTTTCTATCCCAGTCTTTTGGGCCCTCGATTCCACAACATTGTAGCTATAAATTAACACAATCAGTATTGTTTTAATTATTCAGATGATTGGAGGAATTACTTACCCAGTCTTCTTGAATCCAATCAATAAGATTCTGCTGATCAGGATCCTCACGATAATGAATAATAAACGTTTGAAATCCGATAGTCGCTTGTGATTTAATCTACGAAACGCGGTCAACGCATAATTTAATATTTTATTATTCAGAAGTAAAGTGAAACTTACCCAGTCTTTAAATATGAAACCCATAATTCCGGCAGTCATTTCAAACAATAGCAGTATGGCCAAAAACAATGCGTACTAAAAAAATGTAATTCGTTTAATAGTTTAATGTCTTTTAAATGAAATGCTACCATTTCTTCATCGTTTTATATGAGTAGAAAGTTGATGAGCATATAATTACCGTTCCAAGTAGGCAAGTGTTTTCTCTAAGCGCGCCCACGCAGCCGGTGAATCCGATAACGAATGTAAGAGTACCTGGATTAAAATTCTGATTATTTTTTGCGTTGTTTTTTAATAGGTAGCTATTTACCTATACACATTAAAATGAACGCCGGGTCCAAGGCGACGTTAGCAACCTTCGAAATATTGTTGAATATATCTTTCTCTGTCCATGCCCAAACTCCAATTGTAAGAATACCGAGACCCAACCACTGTAAATTTATTTTTTTTAATAAGTAAATAGAAGTAAATTGTTTTTTTTTTATATTTCTTACCCAAAAAAGAACGTTGAATCCAAATATCATGTATTTCAGACAACTGCTCACTTCGCTGGCGTCCCTCCGATATTTCCGAATGGGCACCGGCACATTTGGCACATTTACCGCTGCCATTTGTTCGAAATTTGTTCGCGAGATTAAAAATGAAGATTGGTGATCACGTTGCGTTAGAGTAGAGGTGGATTCATGGTGGCTGTGTGCAATTTGCCCTTGTTTTGCGCACTTTTTCACTTAATTTACGTTTAGAATTGCTAATTAACTCACATTCTATTGAGTGGTTGGATGTGGGATGAGAAAATGGCCGAATCAATGAGAAAACAAACAAAATCGACGTCGATTTCGATGATTTCGGCCACAGCTGTTGTTATTATTGTCTTCTCGTGCTACTGACGCTGACCTGCTACGCTGCTGCTAGCACAACAAGCAGCGCGTTTGTGTGAGTCATGGATTGTCAGTGTTGCTGCTACCGTCGACTCGCATCAGAGAGTTCGACCAATGGAAGAGGCCGCAGCGGCAGGAAATATAGCTGCAGGAGCGAAGGAGCGCAAGTGAGCGCCATCGATCGTTGCAGTAAGAGATGCGTGACTCAACGGTATTGCAGGAAACTTGAGTCATTTTGATGAGGTCAATTTGTGACCTTGGGGAGTTATACTTAGAAAATTCAAGTAAAAAGTAAACAAAAACTATAAATCATTTCTAAAGAAGTATTTTGTGTAGTAATATTGATTTTATTTAATTATTTACAGTAAAGTATTTATTTTATTAATCCTAGCTCCATCTACATTATAGAAGAGATTCCTGCTGAGCTACCAGAACTAGAAATAGCTAAAATCATCTAGGAAGCAATAATCTCCAAAGAGAAACCTGTTATGCAACTTTAATTAATCACTAGAGGTCCTTAAAATGTGTTTTCTGTCAGTATTTTTGTTTATTTGCGTATAAAATGTTTGTTTTTAATATTTTTTCTACTTGTATCACATTCAAAGAAGAATATGTACTGATTTTACCATTTTTTACTTGTCCTAGTCCTCTACTCCACTATTCTCCTAGTAAATCATATTTTACGACACCGGATATCCATGGAGCTTTTTCTGAAATAGCCTTCTATTCCTCAAAAGTATTTCCTGCCCCGTCTAAATCATCAACTGCTGAAAAATCTACTTTTCCAGTCTTTGTACACCTACAGATCCATTTACTTTTACGACCAACACAATGTGCATCAAAACATACCTGCCGTATACTCATATTGCAGACTTAGACATAATTATTACCAACAGCAAAATATTGTACACCAAATATATTCTATAGATATAAACCGTAAGTACCTCTAGCCTGCTGAAAGTTGGAAGGGTATTGCGTTCCGGCTGATAGTGATGGAGCATTGGCGCTCTTGTGAATGGCGGAATGGAGGTCTTAAGCGACATCCACAATAAATTTTTATTACCGAACATGCCATGCCACGAAAAGTGTACACGGAAAAGAATACACGTCGGCGAAAATAATTGGAAAATAAGGGCCGGCAAGCAAGGTGCCCTGCGGGTCAATACGAATGCCGATTTTCTTCGAGCAACATTTTTCTGCTCAATTGACGCCTGGAGTGTGATAAAAACTTGATTGAAAATCGCCAATTGCATATGAGTAAATAATTGGACGCAACCATTTGACTGACTAATTGGACAACGAGTGCTTTCACTAATAAAACGCATTGTTTTAATCTAACAATGCGTATATAATTTAATTAGCTATTATAGTCTATTATGAACGCTTGAAAAAAGCTTTTTTTTATTGCCATAGTTTATATTTGAGGTTATTTTTTTAAAATTTTGATAAAAATCATATTTAATCGACAGTTAACAAGCTGTGTGGACGAGATAAGCCTGTCAATTTTTGGCGCAGCGACATATAACATTATAACGACGCGTTGGTGTCAATCATGTTTGTTTTATGGAAAAACTTTTAATACTCTACTATGTACGCAGCGAGCTATGTGGTTATGAAAAGTGTTTGCCTATAGCCGCGGGAGAGTCGAAAAATATGAAGATGCGTATGCTGTAAATCAAGTATCGTATCGTCATGCAGTCAATATAAAAGCCGTAAAAAGCGTGCGCATTAATCTTTTATGCGTTGTTACTACACACTGATTTCACGTTTCGGCAGCGCGATATTTGTAGCACTGGAAAAAAAAACGTCTCGATTAAGAACGTTCGCTGGGCTCGAAGGGGTACGACGATAAATTTGTCAATTCTTTACCTCGCTGCGTGCCTGTAAGCCGAAACTAAGCTCCTTCCACCAAGTTCCGGCCCGCGATATTTTGTTCATTGGCAAATCCCGGCAGAACCCAAAGGATTATCCGCTGTTGGAGCTGGGAAATTTTCATTTTCCAATTTTCCACATGCATTTAACTATCATATTGTATCAAATATTATGATCCCTATAGTTTCACAGATTTTCGCCATCTTTTTATAAATAAAACCTTAGATTGTGTAAAATATAGGCAACCAAATTAACTTTTCTGGATGTTTTGGTACAACTGACGTGACTAAACTTGATTTTAACATTTGTAATTGATGTGTGCATTTAATTTGATGTGCCTCCGAGGTATTTTGTTTAATTTAGTAAATTTGAGCGCTGAAACAACATTCGAAATATATTCTCGTGCGGCCCAGCGACAATTAGCCGCCGTTACGACACTGCTTTGCATCCACAGCACCCCAAAGGATTGTCATCGGCGATGGCAGTTTGTTTGGTTGCGTGCACGATAGCCGCAAATGCCGCAGCGGCGGCGTGCGCGCTTTTGTGCGATCGCCGCCCGCCACTGGCGCGTTTCGACGGCACCGTTGCCGGCGCCGCCGCCAACAACGCCTGCGTACGAACTTTTACGCGACGCGCGGCGCCCGGACCGGACGGCAGTACTTCGCGCTCTCGCCACTGTTTCGGATACGATTTTGAAACGGCGGGACAATCTTGAGCCGCGAAATTAAACATCACCAACTTAATCTAATCCTTCATCTAACCACAATCAAAATATGTAATTAAATTTTAAATATAATAATCATTAACTTAGAAAATAAATCACAGAGTAAATTAATTAATTAAAAAACAAAATAATTAAATAAAAATACAAATGAATTAAAGTTTTCTATGCGAAAATGTCAACAAAATAAACGCGGTTATTGTGCGGTCGATCGCGATTGCCGAGCGTTTGTTTTTGTTGAATTATTTCATTTTGTTCGCAATGCCGCTGCGCAACTGGTTATTGCCCGTGAAGCAAAAGTGATTTGATTAGAAGATTAAATATTTAATACGCCTGCAAACATTAACACGCACGTTGTTCAAACGTAAAGTAATCATACACTTTCAAACGTAAGTATTTATGCAATTAATATGCAAATATTAAGTTTATTAAGTTTTGATTGAGTTAAAAATATATACCAACACATACCCTGCGATATTTAAAATGGTCGCCTGCCGCTTACCAGTTTACAGTTGATTATAACGTTCGCAAATCGATATTGAATTTAATCTATTTTTAGTCAATTAAGTGTGCCCCAACGGTCCAAGCCGTATATAAACGAGGCGGCATCTCGCCGACTTAATTACATTCATAATTTTTTACATAAATAATGCCACCACGCTGTGACTAATTAATTCTTATAAATTTCGCTTCGTATTTTGATTAATCGCAAAATCCCTCGGCTTTTTATTATTATTATTTGTTGGCATGATGTTGACTCAGTTTTGCACAACTTTTAACGATACTGAAAACTTTTGATATCTGGAAACTTCTGATTCATTTTTTTTATTAAAAATGTTATAGTTTTCTAACACAACAAATAAAAATTTTAATTTCATCCCCGAAAAGTTTTTATTACAAGTGTATGATATAAATAACTTCATAAATTAAAACAGATGATATTATTCTTGGATTATAAGCAAATTGCGTGTCATTCATACATTATGTATGAATTTTTACGCCACTTTATGACTTGAGATAATTTTTTCACTTTTAATTCAACATGTAAATATTCTGCATACATATTGATGTGGAATCAATTAAACATACGAACTGAATTATTGATTTCGAGTGCATTGAAACATTGCATTTATTAACGAATCCTAGTCATCCAGAAGAGTAACGAGATAATTATTACTTGTTACCGGCGGATACAAAATTAAATGAAAATAATGAATGCACGCACAAATTGGCTGCCAAATTGCTGATAATGTTTGACTATCAGCGAAAATCAAGTGACTTGAAAGAGCAACACTAAATAAACAATTTCGGTTGAATTTCAATTAAAGTAAAAACACACAAATTTAAATTTGATTGCTATTTGAATATGTGCCTGGTAATTCACTGAAATCGCGTAACTATTTATTGCATTGCGGATTACATTAGCGGGAACGCGGATTGCAATCAATAACTGATTACGATGCACTGATGTTGATTAGGGACGTTAGAATATGTTGCGTGGGTAGTCTAACGCGAATATTCAAATTAAAAAGGCATTTTGCGCAGCATATGAGCTTCAAAAGTTAATAATGTTCAAATCATGTTCAAACTTGTATTTGGATCCCTTATCATTAAATTTTGATGGTTTTGGTTTAGTACATGATGTCACACAACATAACTTTATCCGGGAAATGTTGTTGTTAAAATTCAACGTATTTATGATCATAAACATTGATCCAGCAGGTTTTTACATTCATAGATATTTCGGATTGAATTTTATAACATTTTCAGTGTGAAAATTTTAAATAGCTCCGAAAATTATTATTTCATTACCATGAAGAAGTAAATTTTTAAATGAAAACATAATAAAAACCAATAATAAATCTGTTTACGACGATTTAAATTTTAAATGTTTAATATTTTTGGATTATACTATTCCACTATTCCAAGATAGTCTGATATGCTGTTGCGCATAAACTTATATAAGTAGACTATCTATTTCTGTGCATGTGTGCGGTTGATAAGATATATCTATATCGAGTACCGGCGGTGTTCCATTCGGCGCGGATAAGGGAATGCGGTTCGACGTCGGGGTGTTCGGTTCCTTTGCGGTCGCTCTGCCGATAAGGGCGGGTGATGTTATCCTAGCGGAAAATATCGCGGTTTTGATCCAAAGCTTGTGATCATCCCTCTGTCTCGTTTAATTTGATGCATACACCGACACGCCGGAGCGCAACCAGCAGATTCTCACCGGGGGCCAAATCGCGCCGCATACATGTGCAGATGTGCGATGAACACGTTTACAGACCTTCGCAATGTTATCGGAATGCTTTTTACCGTCGTCAGCGCGTCATCGGGGCTAATTTCGGATTTGCTTTCGTAGACATTTTATTGCATATCAATTTATTATGCGCGATTTCGATTTTTTCACGTGGATAACCTAAGTTTAATACAAATTATTACTAAAAATCATGATGAATGTTATTTTTATTACAAAAATTAAATAATTTAATAGAATATTAAGAATCAAGTGGCTAAAAAGGAGTTTTAGTCACGAGATTGATTAAGAGCAATAGTTGCAATCGTTTAATCATAATTTGTATGATTTGACTTGTTTGACTGACGGCGCATGGCACTTTATATGGTCTTGTACTGCACCGTAGGCAAATGCACAGGCGCAAACGCCACCCCGTGACTATAGCCCGTGACTAAAGTAATTTTTCTTTAAATTCCAAAAATTAAAATTCGATAAAATTTCTTCCACCAGTTTCTGAATAATAAATAAATTGCTAAATTTTTATTTTCCGTGAATGTAAATAACCCCGTAAGTACTAAATGAAATATTTTATAACAATGGCTAAAGTATCGTATTATACTTGTTTCTATTATAGTATATAGTTGCACTTAGTCTCAAAACATTCTCTCAGGCCGTGTAAAGTTGCACAAAATACCACATCACTTACGATCCCGCTGTTGAAGCGCATAAAACCGGCAGTAAAATGCGATTTCATGCGTCCAGCAACAAACCGTCGCCGCCGCCGACGCTGTAGTGAGTCAACAAAATGTGAGGAGTAATAAGAAGCTAGTTAGCCGCTTACGTAAATAGCGAACGCTGCGAACATCGGCAGCGCAAACGGATTGCATCCGTGTGTTAAACACCAACACTAGTACTTTTCAATTGAAAAGCCTTCCAACAAAAGTGTTGCGCATTCCATTTTGAAAATGAAGCGATGTGAATGCGCTCCGTTGGATCGAAAGGGCAATTATTCTAAAATTACAAACAAAAAATCATAAACAATTCATTGTAGTAACTTTTAGATTGCAAAAATAAAAAAAATTAATCTACTTAAAATTATTTGGCTTGACTTGACGTAAAAGTAAAAACAGGACATTTATAACAAGAATAGCGTGTTTCCACAATTGCGTGATCAAATACCGATGCGCGCCATGAAATATCTTCATGCTTTCACTTCCATTACAAAGTTTACCAAACAAAAAAAAAACTACCTGCCAAATACTAGTAGACATTTTGATTAAACACATTGATATCAATCAAAATACCTAACATTTAAGTGTTTAATATCGGTATTATCCTGTTTTGTGTACAAGATAAAGTTACGGTTCATATTGTTGCGAATATGCGGCGGGTGAAAAGTCACAGGACATTTATTTTGTGCAACGCGTGCGTGGGTGCTTTATATGAACCAGGTTACCACCTCTACCTTCCCTCAGCGGTAGTAGTCTGTTATATAAATAATGACTAGCACAGCGCGTCGAAAACCACACCATTACCCGCCATCGCCTTTGCGTTCTCATCTGTTTTATAACTTACTGAGCCGCGACTGTTGCTGACACCCCGTGCGTGATGACGGGGGCAAACATGTCACGTACTTATTTGCGACGACGTTGTGTACGCGAGCGCGATCACTGCCTTATCGTATGTGTCGTGCATGTCTGCCGAGAGCAGATAGATCGCTTCGGCACGCATCTTGACATGCGAGTTACGGTGACTTTTTCTGCGTTAAACGCCAATTGCTTGCGATGGCGACGAGATATAAACACGCTTGTAAAGTGTCTCAGTGTTTGACAAACATTTACTACTATAATACGATGTTTTTTTTTGTTTTTGTCAATCGTTTATTGCTTATAAAAAAAGTGGAGGCGCCGGGCAATGTGGAATGACGTCATGGTTGTTGTATTGATAGATATAAAAAAATAACACATTAATCGATTTGATATTAACTGCGTATCAGGAATGGTTCATAACTTCATTACAAGTAGATCAATGGCTATTTACATGTTACACATTTTAAAAATTTAATCGATACGGTTATAAAGTTCATTGCAGCAAGAAAATGAGTACAGAAATAGAAAAAGTTAAAAGCTTTTACGTTTAATTTAATTTTTTCTTTGAATAAACCCAAGAAATTCATTAAAATACAAAGAAAACCAATCAGCGCAAATAATTCAACACTGACGTCACAAAAATATATTAAAAATCAACTGTCTGGGTGTAATTTTTCTTAACTCTGATGCTGAGTATTTATGCTAATTAGAAAAGCATAACACGATGAAGTTTGAAATACTTTAAGGACACTTTAGACTTTGGTAATCTCATAAACACCACCTCGTTCATAAATCACAATGGAATTGCTAGACGAAAGTCATCGCGTCGTCAATGTCAACATTAAAAGCTCAAGGGTGTGTGCATTTTATGTAAATTATGTAAACGCTAGGCAAACACATTTTAATCTGTTGATGTATCTTTGTTATTTCAGTAATAATGCTGCAAAGCCAACAATCAACATGAACGCCACCGAATTGTACTACTTCTCCGGTCTGGAGGTAAACAGCAGCCTGGAAGTGAACTGGACCAACGTTTCAAATCCTGAAAGAGACGCATGGGAGCACTGGAGTTCCCTGGTGCAGGACCGCGCGGTGGTTGTGTCACTTTTACTCGCATTCTCAATGGCGACCGTGTTCGGTAACATGCTAGTGATAATGGCGGTAGTGCGCGAAAGATACCTGCACACGGCGACGAACTATTTCATCACTTCGCTGGCAACAGCGGATTGTTTGGTCGGACTTGTTGTGATGCCCTTCAGCGCGCTGTATGAAGTATTAGAACACACGTGGTTCTTTGGACCGGATTGGTGTGATATCTGGCGGTCGTTGGATGTGCTTTTCAGCACCGCCTCGATTCTGAATCTTTGCGTAATCAGCCTGGACCGATACTGGGCTATCACCGACCCCATTACCTATCCGATGCGGATGACGCGGATACGCGCCGCGTGTCTCATCGCCGCCGTCTGGGTGTGCTCCTCGGCGATCTCGTTTCCGGCGATTGCGTGGTGGCGCGCCGTGCGCACCGAACCGATACCGGCATACAAGTGCCCTTTTACGGAACACCTCGGTTATCTGATATTCTCGTCGACCATCTCGTTTTACCTGCCGCTGTTCGTGATGGTCTTCACCTACTATCGGATTTATCGTGCTGCTGTCGAACAGACGAAATCACTCCGCTTAGGCACCAAGCAGGTGCTCCTGGGGGCTGGTAATCTTGAGCTGACGCTGCGCATTCATCGCGGGGGTGCGTGCAACAACGAGTCGCGGTTGTACGCGCAGGAAGACGAGCCACTCACGGCGCTTGCGAACAATGGATTAGCACGAATGGCATCCACCCGCCTGGGTCCACACAACAAGGCTTTCTCGCTCAGCCGTAAGTTGGCCAAGTTTGCCAAGGAGAAAAAAGCGGCGAAGACACTGGGCATCGTGATGGGTGTTTTCATTGTCTGCTGGTTGCCGTTCTTTGTCGTCAATTTGCTGAGTGGTTTCTGCATCGAATGCATCTGGCACGAGGAGATTGTGTTGGCGATCGTCACGTGGCTCGGCTGGATCAACTCGAGCATGAATCCAGTTATTTATGCTTGCTGGAGTCGAGATTTTCGAAGGTAAGAGAAGATTTTTCGCACCTTGAACATGGTGTATATATAATTTAGTTTTCAATCAGAGCTCTCTCTGGTGTACTCGTATAAACATGGCCATGCCGCGTTTACTTTACACCCGATCCACGGCTGACATCTGTTGATTATGCGATTTAATTCCATCATCACATTTTCGTCGAGACGTCGCAGTCTCCGGGTGTGCGGATTTGTATTTATTGTGTGAATCAACTTAGGGTGCGTGTGCGAAATGTGTGCACCGAGGTTCGTACTGAATGTGTGTAATTTTCGGGTTTACCCTCCAAGTCGAAATCAAATCGACAAGCTTCGCTCTCCTACGGCTTCTTCCAAGAAATATATATATATATTCAGATTGCAGAGAAACCGTGCGAATTGTGGCGTTAACAGATTTATGCATAAATTTAATTACGCGCGCAAGAAAGCAACACGAAAACGACGATAAGCAAAAGCTTCAAGGGGCAATACAACTTTTTTTCATCCACGACACTTTACTCCTTACGAAAACTAGATTGAATATCGATTGGTGAGTGCCTCGCATTTTCGGGTGCACCCTTTTTCTGTCGCGGATATGTTTTCGCAGCAACTTATGATAGAAGCGAAAAACGACGTCGCAGCGGGAATATTTACGAGTTTTGACACGTTTTTATAACTCGACCTTTGAGAACTCGCCAAGAAGAGCCAATCTTGCCGGTTGCGCTTTTTATTTGTTTTGGCACCTCTTCACTAACAGCCGTAATGGCTGCAGGCGCAAAACTGTATCTTCCTCTAGTGTCGGGCTGCGTGCGATGGAGATTTTTATTCGCGCCCCTCTCGAGTGTAAGTCTGTCGTTCGCATTCAGTCTCGTTACGTAATTGTTCCTCGGGGGGTTGGCGAATTTTTCTCGTTACTTCTCATCTAGCGAATTACTTTTGTGTGGCGGTCGGCAGGCGACGATAACAAAAAGGTATAAGACGCACAAATCTCATCAATTTGTCACGAAAATTGAATGTAATCCACCGAAAGCTTGGATGTCGTATCGAACTACATATATTGTCGCATAAAATACCTCTTAATATATTATTACATGAAAATATTTTAACTAGACTTTTAATTTATAGATGGCGCTCTTTAAAGTGACGTTAAAAGATTTTAACCTTACTTTATAGATAGAATTATGTAACAATTAAATTATTGCACGCAATCGATGGTAATTTTCAAACAAAATTAAATTTTCGTCTTGTAATATAAAGGAAATGAACAAGCGGCTAAAATGTGTAGGCGGGGAAGTTTCTCGACAATAGTTAGTACGCTTGATGGCTACGGAAAAACTCCTGAAAGGAGTGCAAAATCTAATTAGAAGTGGAAGTCTGTATCGTGCGAAGCTAAGAAACGACGAAATTGTGCGCAACATTACTCAAAAGTTTCCTAATTCCGATACTAGATGATCCACTTGAGTTTGAAATTTGCGCTGAAATCGTCCTCGACAAAACTTGCGCAAGCAATTCAGCGAAAATTATAATTGTTACTTAATATAACAAAAGTTTTCTTAAATTAATTATTTTGTTTCTCTTTGATTTTCTTTGCGAAAAAAACAACTTGCTCGCATATATTCTGCGGGGAATTACAGTGCAACTTCTTTTTATCCTGTTGGTAGTACACAAGTGCACTTTGGTAAGTAGTTACCTACAAAACACTCCATTAAGAAACATTTCACTTGAAAGAACAACTTCAATCCCACGCACAGACAGAACTCGCGCTTGCTACGATTTGCATTAATAAGAAACGTTTTAAAACCGCGACTTAGATCTGACGTGCATTTCATTGTCAGCAAATTGCTTTTCTAATGCGAGTTAGGTTTCCAATTTCAGCTCCGAAATAAGGATGCAAACGCGGCGGGAAAAAAAATCTCCGAGTGCGAATTGAGCACGCGCGCACGCTGAGATTCGTTCGATTTTCTGCGCCGATGTGTCGATGTTGGTTTGGCAAAGTATGGAATTAAGGAAGCAATTTATTACACGGCAAAACGATCGACTTTTATACTCGTATTTGCTATCGGAAGCTATGCAGTGCTGATGCGAAAAAAGGGCGCCACGTCAACGCTGAGACGGCGGCCAGGCGTGCCGTGGTTAAAGGTTTTCTATTTTGCACACCTGAGATGAAGAGTTGCCGGGATTTCGCGCGAGAAAAGAGAAATCGACCCGAATCAACTTCTTATTTATATAAAACGGAGTGTTTGGCCGCTTTCGTGACCCATTCGTAATCAATCAATCATGCCTCGTCTAACGCCATCCGAGCGATTGGTGGGAGGATGTCTGGCTGACCACTTTGAAATATTCATGGGCGTTTTGAGCGCACATTTGTACACGAGGCTTGAATGTGACGAGGGAATGGGAAAATTATTATGTTGTCATATTATTAATGTTCGCCAAGGGGAGCGTCTTTTGTGTGTGTGTTTTTATATTTGTCTGCTGCGCCGCAATCGTTACTTTGATAAATATTTAAAAAAACCCTGTCTAAATATAACGAGTTGTATTAAATCAATAAGAAACTTAAAAAAAAAATTAAATTGTTTCTACTTTCACTATTAAAGAGCAGACGGGCAAAGCCGTGACTAAAGTACTTTAGTCACGGGCTATAGTCACGGGCACGTCATTTATAACTGTAAATTTCCCAGTAGTGTGCGAGCGAATTTTGAAGATTTAAAACAAAAAATTCAAATACAAAAACTCAACGTGGGAAGATAGTGAAAGTAGAAAATATATCGTAAGCAACTCATGGCTAAACGTTATTAAACACTGGATTGATTAAACGCTCCCTACGCTTGCTCTCAATCAATCTCGTGACTAAAACTTTCATTTAGCAACTTGATACTTAATATACAATTATTTTTGTTAAAAAGTGTGATTTTGAAGTAAAAAATAAATCAAATCATTTGCATATAAATTCAGATACAAGGTGCTTGCTTATCATTTTTATTTCTTGCAAACTTCGAGCGTGTACTTAATAACTCAATTTACAACTTTACATTCAATTTATGTTGACGAACAAATTTAAATAGCTCTACGGATATTTTTACGGCACATACATTTATACATCTACCTTGGAAGTTTTTCTTTGAAATTAACTTCCACTAATATTTATTTTTACAAAAATAGCATAATTTAAAGTAGATAGTAATTATTTTTTTAAATAAAACATAAAACATGGAAATTTTAAACCTAAAAGCACTAAAAACACATTTTTCCATAAAATGTTTATGCAATGAAGAATAAAAATGCGCAATTTCTAAAATAAGCATTCGTACGTGTGCTACTCAATTAAACATTTTACATTCCCACTGCATCACACTGGCCTGCTCAATTATATAAATTGCCGTTTCGTTAACCATAAATTAACTCGTAATCAATAACACATATATAATTTGCATGCAACGTTAACAATATCGGCACATGTTGTTAATATCCGAAAATCGCATTATGATGCACTTTCCGCACAACTTGTTCGCGCTGCTGAATTATTGCCAAATTTATATGTGCGTATTCGACAAGGATTTATGAGATTACGCATCCAAAATATTTCCATCTACCAATTTAAAAGTAAATTATATTTTCATGGTCCGGTTAAATTATATTTATTTTAATTTCAATTTGTTTTAAGCGCGACTTGAGGCTTTGCGAAGCGCGAACGCAATTATACACTTCTTGTTTTCATTGCAATAAAAAAAACTTTCAAAATGTGTAACTGCGGGCAAAGTGTTGCATTCTTTTTAATTAAACTACGCTCTTGTTGTGGAGGCAATTGTTTATTTACATACCTCTATAATACAAAATAAAATAAACACTTTCAAAATTAAATTTTTGGCTCTCCAAGGCAAAAAATCTCCTTTTTTTAAATTTTTGTGAAAATACTATTTTGGTTTTGTCCTAATCCCTAAATCCTTAATTTAATCACCGAAATAAACTGAATAAATATGCTAAAAGTGATTAGATCAGAAATACAGAATGCAGGGCACACGAAATCGTTGTCTCTCATGCAGAATTTATGCAGGACTGGAAAAGGGTCGTAAACTTTTTAATTTCACTCGTATTCGGTAAAATACGACGAGTTGGGACACAAATCGACCAGCGCCTGCTTGCAAAATCTGTTTTCATACTGATTGTTACTAATATCTTCTAAATTTTACAAAATATCATTTACTACCACTTTGTATCCCTGAAAACAATCACATTATATTATTACAGGATTAGAATTTAATGTCTAAATTGAAATTGGCACCGCATGCGGTGGTGGGTTGTAGAATACTAAATGTAGATATGGTTTTTATTTCATCGCGGTGAGGCCCTCCTAAACGCTGCTGGTCGGGAAATTTATACTCGAACCCTGCGGGGCTCTCTGAGGTTTTTGTCCGCATATCGCTGTGTTCGCAGGTTGGCGTCGTCGTATATGAATTATAATCCTATTGTGTAAGACTTGCGATAACATGTACCTTAATCGCGATGTTTTCAATTTGGGCGGGCTGACAAAAGGCAACGTGCAAACTTTTCAGGCCTCGTCTAGCGTTATCGTGGTTGAGTGCGTTCATTATTCACCCGAAAAACGGCCATTCGGGAAAAAAAGAGTTTGAATTGTTTTACTGCGTCCGATTTTCGGACATGAACATGTCACGAGGTGGAGTTTTTAAATGTTTTATTGAAAAATGCCTCGGGTGGATCAATTTTTGTATTTTTAAAAATAAAACATATTTCCGCTTTCAATTTGACGAAAAAAGTTTAATTTATTTACGTGTCGTTGATAAATGTAAACCTATAGATAAAACCCGTGCAACGTGAATTAATGTTGAAATGGTAATTATTCAGTGCCCACGAGTGTATTAATTTGGTTAGCACATCTTACAACTTGTGCAGAAATGCGTCAACGTCAAGCGCGCTTGGAGCGCGAGGAATTAGAAATAATCCGAAACAAAGTTTGATGAAATTTGCTCGTTAATGTATTCAACAGCAAAAAGGGA